GATTATATCCCTTTCAGTCTCGATTCAAACGACATCTAATATTTCTAAAAAAAAATTCTGTCGAGAAAAATCCGTTTGAAATTTCAGATTTTTGTTTAATTTCGAGCGAGCCAGCAGGACTTCTATTAAGTTAGTTTGTTGTAGCTCCTTCGTGGATTTCTTTCTTTTCAATAAAAATACCGCAAATTCAAAAGTTATAAAGATTTTTTGTTTTTGTTGAATTTCGATTGATTTTTTGGAGAACTTTTCTAAAATACTAATGTATTATAGTTCTCGTGTTTGGCTAAATTGTGATTTTTTGTTCAGTTAATCTCATTCTACCGTGAACAAAAAGCGATATAGTTTGAAAACAATAAATAATTTTTTTTCAAGTATTATTATTTTTTTTGGAGCTTTGTGCTTTGTTATCGTACTATCGTTATCGGAAAAAGTTATAGTTTTCGTACTATCATGTATCTGCTGTCTTACCCGCTAATTTCTAAAGCATGGATTCTTCTGATTTATACAATACTTACTATAATTGAAGTTTTTATGCTTGATTTTATTTTTACTCGAGTAAATTACTTTTGGAGATTTATAATGCCATTTTGGGAATCAAAAATTCTACAAAAAATGAAGAAAAATGTTTTTTTTTTAAAATCATTTTTCCTCAAAATCTGTTGTGCTGTTTGTCTGTTTTTTCACAATCAAAGCTTGTGTGGTAGTATGAACTCCCTTTTTTCAACATAAGTCGAAAATATAGCTGTTCATTTTGAAAGTGTTCATTCTAATCAACAACCAGCTATTAAGTGTATAGCCAGTGCTAAGGAATTAAACACAGACTATTAGCACAGACTATTACAAATAGCACTTCAGCTTCAAGGTATCATGGATCAGTAGCGTAGAGGTAGGGAACGAGACCAACAAGAAATTAAGAGGGTTCGAACCTGGGCAGGTTCGAAAAACAATGAGTAAAACCTTGAGTCTACATAATTGCTAAGTGACGCAAGCCGATTATGACGCACTAGCACAGCCAGTGCTAAGGAATTTGACACAGACTATTAACACAGACTATTACAAATAGCACTTCAGCTTCAAGGTATCATGGATTAGTAGCATAGAGGTAGGGAATGAGACCAACAAGAAATTAAGAGGGTTCGAACCTGGGCAGGTTCGAAAAACTGAATGAGTAAAACCTTGAATCTACATAATTGCTAAGTGACACAAGCCGATTATGACGCACTAGCAGTACCAGTCAATTTGAAAAAAAGACATTTACCAACTAACATGCCTCGATTTATTGAGCGGACACATTTTAACTAGTCTACGAAAAATTTCATTAAAAACATGTTTGCAGCATCGTTGTATTTATCTACGGTATTTTTATAATGTTTTTAATGAACTTTTTCGTAGACTAGTTAAAATGCGTCCGCTCCTTAAATCGAGGCATGTTAGTTGGTAAATGTCTTTTTTTCAAATTGACTGGTACTGCTAGTGCGTCATAATCGGCTTGCGTCACTTAGCAATTGTGTAGACTCAAGGTTTTACTCATTCAGTTTTTACCACTAGGGTTATCGGTCATATTTTTGCTTGTGTATGCGATGAGCAACTTCGCCTGTGTATAATATACCAGTTGCAAAAAGGAATTTAGAAAAAATACATTTTTTTTTCGTTTTCCTAGTCATCTTTCTATAAAAAGTTGTTTTTCATTTGCTTATTTTACTATGACTGTCGAATACGCCCAAGCTCTAGTTTTTCGTTCAGCTCCTTTTATCACACCACGCCGAAAAAAACGACAGTAATTTGAAATATTTTTTGAGAATATGGTCGTTACATTCTGTGCTACTTGCACAGTAACCGGCTATCCTTGTTTGTTTTATGTTATTGGTTTATTTGGCACTTGATTTCATGAGCGAACATAAATTTTAATGCTATTTTGCGTTGTTACCGCTTGATAATTTTGGCTGCGTTGCTACCGATTGATAAATTTTGTTTCAATACTCTTTTAACACAGGAAACTGTGTCTCGACATTTTCCCTCAATTTGAACTGAATCGAAATCAAACCTATCGAAATTTTGTTTTTGGGGACATCTCAAAAATTTCCGGCTCAGTGATTTTCATCTTTTTTTCTGAAAATTGGTGTTCTGTTTTTGTGTTGTAGCAAGTGATGCGAAGCTCTACATTGCTTCTGTGTTGTAAATTGGCGTTGTAGTGGAATCCCATTAAGTTATTTAACAAGAATGATGAGGCGATGATTGTTGTTGTAGGTTGAAGTTACAGTGAAAGGTGCGGTCGAACCAGAAAGTGGTATGTTGCTCAATTTGACCGAAATGAAGAAGTATTTGCAGCTAGCCGTGACAGATCCGTTAGACCACAAGAATATAGATCTAGACATCGAGTATTTTAAAGATCGGCCTAGCACTGTTGAAAACATTGCCGTCTACATTTGGGAAAATTTGAAGTTTCACATGGATCAAGATGGACATTCCGATTTGCTTTACAAAGTCAAACTTTGGGAGACAGAGAAAAATATAGCCACGTATAAAGGCGAAAGTTAGCTCTATATTTTAACAATTTGTTTAACTTGTAGTTTTTGTATCAAAACTTTGAAAGTATAGATAGAATGCATAAATATAAAAAAGTGGCTAGAAATAGAGTCTGTTGAAATAGAAAGGAATTGACTCCTAAATACTCGAAGATAACAGGCCAGGATTTTTGTGATGACCGGTGAGGTTTCTGCGATGTCATCGATCTCATATGCGTCATGATTTAGTCAATTCTCGCGCACTGTAATAATATTGCGGAATGTAAGTGCAGCGTAGCTAGGGTTCAATACCTGCCAGTTCTGGGTGAATTTGATTTTTGGTCGTGTTTTATCATTGTCAATGTAATTCAACGTTCGTTTTATGATTAATTTTGAGCAGAATTTTTTTGGTTTTGTCACATGATAAACCTCAACGTTTTAATGAGTATGAATAAACCAGCCGAAGTATAGAGCAAACGAAAATGCGCAGAGTGTATACGCCATCCGTAAAGTTAAGTCAAATGATGTTTTAGTACAAAAATTCACATTTGGAAAATATTTTCTTTGCCTAAATAATTTTTAAGTTTTCTCTGTCATTCATATACTCTTAGTTAAATTGAAGCAAGAAAGGTAGTCTCCACAGTCTTAGCCTTCAGTTATTATGAAAGTTATCGAAATTTTTACGATTTAAATAGAATTTCTTTTGTTAAAAAGTAGATTATGGCAGTTATCAAACTGCATGCTTTGACAAATGCTTTAGTAACCATGGAAAATTCTCCAAGGCTCAATTGGATTGTAACAATTGTAACAAGGATAGCTGGTTGCTGTGCAAGTAGCCCAGATTGTTCTGACCATTCTTAAAAAAATTTTTTTTTTCTTTTTTCAATTTAGTGTCGTTTTTGTTTGCGTGGTTTGATGAAAGTTTTCTCCAAAAAGTGATTAGAAAAACGAAAACTCAAATTTGTTTCTTAAGTTTTCTATTTTTTTTTGGAGAATTGTTTTCAAAATTTTGAAATAGTTGACGCATGATGACGCTAGAAAACCTATGGTTCCGACGATAGTAGCACAGAATATTCCGACCATATTCATAAAAAAAACTTTAAAAATAAGTTTTTTTTCGAAATAGTGTAGTTTTTAGTGCGCGTTTTGATTAGGTTTGATTTGTCTTGTGTGAATATACAAAAAATTAGAAAATTGTGAATAGGGCATAAGCGACAGCACTTGTTTTCAAAAAATGAATGAAAAACAAAAAAACATGAAAAAAATGTTTTCAAAACAAGCTTTCAACATTTTTCTATATCACTCGACCCATTCTGAAGAAAATCTGATACTGCATTGAAAACAAAAAGAAAAGAAAAAACTATAATACATCCTCCCCAATTTCCATCGTTGAAAAAAAAAATTAAAAAACACCCGAATAGAATGGAATGATGGTATGTCATTGTAAATTGCGGAATTGAGTTTTCTTTGTTTTCGCGCTAAGATTTATGTTGTATCCGACTACAAAGTAACTGTCTCAAAGCCATTTCTTTTTTTAAAAATCTGTAATTGAGTTATATTTTATTGCATTTGGTTAATGGACATCAATCAGACAGCCTTTGGTAGACAACCACTTGACAATTGAATACATGGCAAACTACAAGATACCTTTCTATGAACTGTTGGATTTTGCATATTAGCATTTCAAACTCCAGCTTTTTATCCTTCAGTTTTGACGTATTTCTAAAAGACTTGAAGATATTTCAGAGGGGACTGATTCAGCGTAAAAGAAGATGCCCATATCCGATGCATGTGAAATTATGGAAAAAGTTGCTTGTTATATCGATATAGGTGTTATTGGCTGTGTGTTTGTCGGTTTGATCCGAGATGAACTCTGAGGTCAATGCCAAGAAATTATCCTCGTTTTTCATTAGTTTTGATTTGTTCAAGTAAGTAATTTATTAAGAGTCGATGAACGTAGCTCAGACTTATCTAGGTCGCGATGATTTTTTTTCACTAAGTCATAAAGTTTTGTTCAGGCTCAAATTTACTTTTTCGCGGTTTGAATTTGATTTCATTTCAATTTCAATTCAGTTCCGTTGTTAAAAGGAAGGCAAACTCCTCTATCGAACAGCAAAATTGTAAAGATCACGAAAAACGTGATCGATTTCGAAAATGGAAATTAATTATCAGATTTCCCAGTTAAATAAAAGTTTTACCTATTGATCCATTTTTTCGCAAATTGCGGTAATTTTTGCAAAAAAAGTGTCCATCATAAATTGTTCTTCAAAATCAAAGAGCATCTATTTATTTTTTTTTGTTTACTTGCGTTCATTGGCTCTGTTCCAACTGACTGTTGGCTATGTTTCTTATTCCAACGGCAGAAACGTAATTTGTTCAAGTGGCATTCTAGTTTCCAGCATATTTAATTCCATTTGCATCAAAAAACTGAAGCCATCTCTATCATTTACGGCTAAAAATTATTTGCCGTTTTAATAGCGTTTTTCTTTCAGATTATTTATTTATTATGCGCTCTATATACTGTTGCATCAGGAGTCGTTGTACCTCATCTCTTGGGGTTCCTAAGAAACGTTGACTATTTGCTTCTCGAAGTCCTTTCAAGGTTCAACCATCATCATCGTCATCAGCAATCATGGCCAGAAATTCACAGGCAGAGTATTGTCCTAACATGGTAACATAATATAAAAATTGTACGATGATTTTCAGCCGCCTAGCTTACTAATTTAGGATAATGATTTGTCTTTTTATTCTCAACTGGTTGATCACGGCACATTATTTCGCTATTTTTTCCGATATTTATGCGCAATTTTGATTTTTTACGTTTCTAGTTCTGCTCATTTCTTAATTCTGATTTTGGGGAACAAGAAAAACTATTATCCTAGCTTGCAATTTTTTTAAACAAAATTACCCAATTTCAAATTTTTTTTTGGTTTTATGTTCTTATTTCAGATCGACTTTTGATACTGAGTTTTTATATAAAAATTAATTTCAGTAATATATAATATCAGTAATATAATTTTAAGTATAGTTATATAAATTGTATCATGTTGTTCAATACACTGCTTCTGCTAATAGCAGTCGGGAGAGAAGCGCAGCAATGAACGTGGGCGATGCTGTTCGGGTATCTGCTGCTGTGTGTTGTGTGTGGCCGATACTCTTAGATGGATCCCCGTCTTGTTCATATCTGCGATTGTCGCGTGGTCCTACTATGCGTATACTGTCGAACTATGTTTCTGTAAGTTGAATAGGAAGATGAAGTGGAAGTTTTTTTAGATATATTTCGGCCTTTTTTACTTCTCTTACTAACTATCAATGAATTAATTGACATCCCTAATTTCATTTTAATCAGTCTATGTGAGCAAAGTTTTTGAAGAAAAAGAGCAAAAGTAATCGACCGGGTGAGGGGGAGGGTGAGGGTGAGCGTGAGGGAAGGGGGGTGTCGGGGTCTCAAGTGCTATTTTTTCACAGATGCTTTTTCAGTCGTCGCTCTTACTCCTTTGAAAAATCAGTATTAACAAAAACTTGGCGATTAAAAAAAACTTGTGTATTAGATCAGATTTTTTCTAGCCACCATATTTTTGCGCTTGAAAGACCATCCTATTTTTCAAACACAAGCTACTTGAGCATGAAACCTTAGTTACATCGAAATGTGAAGTCCTACCTGATATTCTGCTATACAATATTGACGCACTGACGTAATTATCCATTTTTAGAATCTAAATAAATGATCGTTGGACGCTGCTTATTCAGATGCTTCTCCTTTATTTTCCCTTCTCAGTTTGAGGAAATGTACAAAAGTAGCTGAAATGATTCATATTTAAAAACACCTGCTCCTTGTGAACACTTCTTCATTACGTGATTCTATGAGTGATTTCTGTTTTTGTCATATAATTCACCAGATCTGCTTTTTGTTCATCAAACGCAAACGTAAGAATGTGTCTCATTTTTCAGCATTTTAACCTTTAATTATTGTTAGCCTTGCCATTGGCAAGTTCTATTCAAAAAATTGTTATGTTTTTCTAAGTTTTATTTGAAATGAAAACAAAAACTACTGAAGCGACGGCCCAACCAAAAGCGGAGCAAACTGAAAGTGGAAATACGAGCCTTGTTGAAAAAGGAGCATCTGTGAAGCGGAAGAACAAAAAAGTGTTCATAGCTTACTTCTACTGGCTACTAGGAGGCGTAGCTGGTCTTCATCATTTCTACCTGGGGCGAATCAATCAAGGCTTCGCATATTGGACTACAGGAGGTGGTTTCCTAGCGGCGTTTATCCGAGATTTCTGGAAAATTCCAGAGTATGTCAAACAGGCCAATTTGGATCCGGTATTTGTAAAACGCCTGATGATTGAAATGAAGCAATACAAGCAACCCGAGTTTAGAGGATCTCGGTTCCTGGCAATGTTGACTGTCAGTATGTTTTACGGATACTTGGCGCAGTTTTCAGTTCCAGAGAATTGCTTCGGCTGGAAAATGAACGAGCATCGTTTTATTTGGATTATAGTAGTCCCGGTTTCGATTGCTTTCGGAAATTATTTAGTCGGAAATATTGGATACGAACGTATATCGTTGCATTGGGCGTTGATGGGTGGTTTTGCACCATCTCTGTTTCTGCCTTTGAACCCTGATATGACAAGCTACTGTGCATTGTTTTCAACAGTGTTGAGCTACTGGAAACGCTCTTACAGAAAATCAGTCATTCCAAAAGATCCTTCTCTTCTCAAGCTGGTGGCAGTTGTTTTGGGAATAGTATTCTATACGTGTTTATGGGGCTCTATGCTGTACCATAATGTGAGTGTAGTTACGAAAGAAGGGGAACGTATATATCTTAGAGACATAGTTGCTGATTATTTCGACCGAGAATCACCGAATAAAAACAAAACTGAAGATTTCAGTTATTGGAGGATTTTGAGTGAAATGCGTGCGGATTTGATGAAGTTTTTAAATGAGATAAAAACGCAAGCGAGGAGTTTCAGAATTATGGAAGATACCCAGTCGTATATGATTCTGGGTCTGGACTGGGGGGCTAGTGAAGACGAGATAATAGCTAGATACAGAGAACTGGCTAAGAAGTACCACCCAGATAAACACGGAGGAGAAGATAGGGAGAAGTTGGCAGAGTATAATTCTAGAATGGTGGATATCACGAGAGCGTACGAGGCGCTGACGAAGAAACGAAAGCGACGAGCGAGAAAGGCGGCGGCGGCAACGACTGATAACGAGTCAAGTGGAAACAAGAGAACTGATAGTGCTCAGAGCGATGGAAACAATGGTCAGGAGACGAAGCAAGAAACTCAATATGATATTCTCAAGGATGAGCTGTAAGGATTACCAGAAAATTGAAACTTGTTCAATAAAAACTGTTCATATAAGTGCATTATAGACTGTATAAATTTAATAAGTGTTGTTAATAATTTGTATAACTATTGTATTTACTAGTTTTTTAGAAAAGAAGTTCAATCTTCAAAAATTGTTTTAAATTTTAGATTTTAGTGCAATAAGATGTCAGCAAACGAAATCTCAAAGTTAAGTAATCGGTGATTTTTTTAATTTCAGATGCAATCGACGACGTCCTTCAAAGAAGTAAGTGCTTTTTTAAACATGAAATGCATTTTGTATTAGCGCGGAAATTTTGTAAAAAGATTTCCAAAAGGACAAAAATTGTTATTACAAAATAGAAACCAACTACCGTTGGGGCTGTAATTGGTTTTTCAGTAGCTGTTTTTCTCAAGAATTGGTAACTATTTCTCGACTTTGTATTGTTCCTGAAACAAAAGAGTTCATAAATTGAAACTGTACACAATTTTTTAGTACTTCCATCCCCAAAAAAAACATTAGGGGGTCCCTTTACTTGGAAAAACACTTTTTCTAAGATTATCATCATCATTATCTTGGTTGTTTATACACCCTTTCCAAACAGGTTACAAATTTCATGTCTCCAAAATGAGCTCAAAATTTCTCGTTTTTCATTTTATACCATTTAATTTTTAAACAGGTGACTGGTTTCAATTTGAACAATAATTATAACGGCTTGTTTTTAAAAATGTGAGTGTCAGAGCAATAACAAAAAATTCAGTTTGAGGTTATCGTTCCGTTTACGTTTCCAGCCATCTACCTGGTGTTCTATCACATTTGTTTCGTACTGTTCGTGTGGTCCTATGGCAGCACCATCTTCACAGACCCAGGTTCCCCACACAAGAGGTTCTACCTGTCACTCACCCAACTAGAACAGCTGACAGACAGTCAGAACGAACAGGAGGAGAAGGCAGTGTTGAATAAGGCTGCCTCAAATCTACCCATCTTGTGCAGACAAGTCAATCTAGGTTAGATTATGACCTGTCGTTGAATCTTTTTCCTTCTTCACATTCTTCTTAGTGGTAAAATCAAGTGATTATTAATCAGTAGGTCTGCAGATCGACTTCTGGAGACGCCAGATTAATGGTCGAGATGTTCAAAAGCATCAAGTGTGAAATTCAACTTTTTGTGAGCAAATCCGCACTGTCGAGGAACGTAGTTCAGACTCTTATATAGGTCGCGATGATTTTTCTGCTTTATTTTCATTGTTAGAGGGAAAGCAATCTCCACTATTGGAACCAATAAGTATGAAGGTTAGAGATGGAATATGATTGGTTAGTTAGGAATATTTTATAGGAATAGAGAATTATATTTATTACCAATTATAAATTCTAGTTTAGAACTGTCTAAACTAGAATTTATAATTGGTTATAAATATAATTCTCTGTTCCTATAAAATATTCCTAACTAACCAATCATATTCCATCTCTAACCTTCAAACTTATTTGTAAGTGCTGAAACTACTTGTAGTTTCAGCATCAGAACAATTTGAATTAAACTTAGAATACAGTTGTTCTCCTGGCAACTAACTCGCATAAACCAGTATACACTAGATCTATTGAGACTAGGAGATATAAGAGTAAGATTAAGATAAATTATTAGACTAAGAAGTTGCACGAATCTATCCGGCCGAAAATAAGATAGCGTGACGAGCAGACGGTGTACCTTATCTGAAATTACTCTATGAGTATAACCAAGTAGGTCATAACTCACTATCGAACAGCAAAAATGTAAAGGTCGTAAAAACGTGATCGATTTCTAGTTTCGAAAGTAGAATTTGGATTACCTAGCGAAACGAAAACAGTACTTATTAATTTTATCAACAAACCACATCAAAAAAGTTTTTTTTGGGTTAACTACTAGTTTAACAAAATCACGGAATCATTTGCGCTGTTATCATTTGTGCAGCATTCAAGTCTGCTTCAAACACGATCAATTTCTTGAAAATTAAAATTTAACTTCTGTTACGAAAACTAGTAGACGACTAAGGGCCTACACTTGAATCCCGCCAGCATCTCTTTTTTTTAACGCAAAATGTTTAGTACATATCGGTTGTCGGAAAGTTTTTTTGACTTTAAGTTTTTGTTTTTGCCTTGTTTTTGTTCCGACCATTGAAAATGAGGAGGAACTTTGTAATCGGGCGTGTTTTAGTTTTTTTCTTCTTTTTGTTGTCCACGCAAATTCAGGTACCACAATTATTAATCAGACTGGTTAGAGTAAAATATCATATTGAAGCTTTTCAGTCGTTATTCGAACCACATCAAAAAATTTCAAAAAAGTTTTCCCGGTGTCGAGAAAAACCGGTTTGAAGTTTTTGATTTTTCGTCTAATTTCGAAGGAGTGAGCAGGCTTTCATTAGCTTTTTTATGCTCTATTTAAGCCTCGAAAATTTAGTTTTACTCCAATGAAGTTAGTTTTTAACTTCATCTTAGGAATCAAAAACTTTTATTTTTTCTTTTTTTCTGAATTTTTTTTTGTTTTTCTTGTTATTTGTCTTTAAAAATAGTTTTTCAATTTGCATATTTTACATGACTGATGCAAATGCCTAAGCTCTACGTTTTCGCTCAGATTTCTTTATCACGCCAAGCCGAAACAACGTCACTATTTTTTTAAGACTGTTCGGAATATTCTGTGCTACTTGGACAGAAACCGGCTATCCTTGTTGTTTTACGCTTTTGTTTTTTTTGTTAAAAAATTTTATTCGGCCTGAATAGTGTCGTTGTATGTTTAATCGGGTCATGGGCGTAAATTTGAGTTTTATGAAGCAGAAATATGTTTTTCATCATTTTGTGTGTTTCCGAAAGAGGAAGGCCATAAACATTCAGGACTTTTAGCTGAAGTTTTAAAAATTTTTTTGTTCATGTTGTCGGCGCTACTGGCCTTTACTTAAGTGTTTTCGGATTATTTGATGCTCGGTTTTTTTGTGAGTAGTTTTTTTGCTGGTGGTTGTGTTGTTGGACACCCAACATCATTCGAGACAAAAACTTGAAAACTTTTGAAAATGTAATGTTTGATTTTTTGAAAAAAAAATTCCCTGTTGTGGTATTGCACGTGCTGCGAAGCTCTGCTTCGCATCTGTGTCTAGAATTTTAAGATCATCTTTTTTTCCTTCGAAATTTGAAAGTTGATATTTTTTTTGAAAAAATTAGTCAGCATTGTTTTTCTATTTACTTGCGTTCATTGGCTTTTTTCTAATTGCCTGTTCACTATGTTTTAGTTTATGTTAGTGACGTGTTACCGGAACTAAAAATAGAATCATTAATTATATTAAGATATTTTTACTGTTCTTGGTTCGGAAAATGAAACTTATTTTGTTTCTTCAGATGTGAGATACTGCAAGCCCTGTACATTGGTTAAGCCAGACAGATGTCACCACTGTTCAATATGCAGAAAGTGTGTGTTGAAAATGGACCACCACTGTCCATGGGTGAACAACTGTGTCGGGTTCCACAACTACAAGTTCTTCATCCTTTTTCTATTCTACGCCACTGTCTATTGTCTTTATGTGACCTTGACTGACATGCCCTTTTTTGTCATGTACTGGCAGTTGAAGAGGCATAATGATGATATATCTTTAGGACATAGGTCAGTATCAGCATTGCTACTTTGCTTGTAACTGAATTCAATTGCCATTTATTGTAGTTCATTTAAACGTCGAAACGTTATCTTGCAGGGTTGAAACGGTTTTACGGGAAATGAGCTTTCAATGATTTGATTGGTTTCAATGATTTGATTGGGTTCTTTACTGGGCACATAAAAGTGATTAAAATAAGGTTAATCACTAATTTAATATTACAAATATATACGGTTAAATTAACGGTCTGGCTTAATGGAAAGCCTTGCCGAAATTTACTAATTCGTGTTAGTAATACTTAAATTTATTTGGTCGCAGGATGCAAGTGATATTTCTTGGCCTGGTGGCGGCCATGTTCATTCTCGGAGTGCTATCTCTCTTGTGCTACCATATCTATCTGCTGCTGAACAACAAAACCACAATAGAGAGCTTCAGAGTGCCTATATTTATACATGGGACAGACGAGGATGCTAAGAGGGGCTTCGGCATTGGATGGAAGAATAATTTTGTGCAAGTTTTTGGAACAAAGAGAAGGTTTTGGATCCTGCCTGTTTCCACATGGTCAGCTATTTTGCAAGTTTTTCTTAACATTTTGCAAGTTTCAATTAGAGGTTCGAACTTCTTTTATTATTCTGAAACAAATAATGAAAGAAAATATTGTAGAAAAAACTACCAAAAATATTTAGGGGGAACCAAAAAACTTTGAGCCGGTTTTGCATGTTCTTTCTAATTTTAGTCTTGGAAACGGAAATTCATTCCCAGTAGCTGACTGTGAGCCGGAGTCAGGTCTCCTTCTTAACGACAGTGCCGATGAGTTCATGGAACAGCAGCTATTTCCTCCTGATTCTTACCCCAGAATAGACTTCAATCCATCAGGTGACGGTTTTTTTTAGTTTTGAAATGATTTTGCACCATTGGAAGTAAGTGCTAGCTATTTAATTGCCGCAAGTAAACTAGAGTCTCAAGGGAAAAATGAGATAAATCAAGTTTAATTTAGGAATAGTTATTCTCGAAATTACTGAAAAATGAGACTGAATTGGAAAATAAGACAGCGATTATAACTTTTGCGAATAAAATTCTAAAAGCGCTTTCAGAATGTTTTTTGAACGTTTTGTGAAGATATGTTTTTCATAAAATTGCTGCTACTAACTCATTGCATTGCCGCTCAACAGTTCAGTACTTTTCAGGTATAATATATCCATTTTTTAGGGAGAACTTGTCCTATGAATGGAGCTAAACTGACTATAGATGACGAAGATGATGAAGATTTATTAAACAATGTTGAGATGTCGCATCATGGTAGAAATGGAGCTTCAGTTGAACCCAAAGTGGCGGTGAACGAACAGACAGTATCACCTGCAAAATCACACCAAATTCCTAGTGCTAATGAGCTGCGAATGCATGATAATTTTGTCGATGCTCGTGAGTTTGGAATAAGTTGTCTGTGAACGAAATGAAGAAAGGTCGTTCTCGTTTTTTCCGAGTGAACAAACACAATTTTTTTGATAAACTAACCCAATTTCAGAAAACTCGATCAATGGGTAAAATTTTCATTCCGTTCGGAAATCTTATTATAAAAGTCCACTTTTGGAGCTGAAATTCAATCTAATTTTTTGCGCAACTTACAAGAGTCATTGGAGAGCCGTAATTTAACCGTCATTTTGAAGCTTACTCAAAAGTTAGACTCTGCGGTATGACTTTTGAGTTTCAAATCAATTTTGGGGTTTCACTTTTGATTTTTTTTTCATATAAGATTCAAGTTCGTTTGCTCAAAGGAAGAGGCAAACTAAGCTCTCCAATAAATTAAAAATTCTGATTGACTTTTAATGATTGCCTTTTTCATTTGCGAGAGCAAGTGACGTGTAGTCGGAAACTTAGCTTTTTCCGCTCAACATTTTTATACAACTTTTTTTATGGAAACTCAAGAAAGGTCAATTTTAAATTTTTATTGAAAATCATAAAGCTGTAAGGCCATATATGCTCTTTTCAAATTCGACAGTTGAAGTTTTTAAAAAAACATATCACTTGTTTTTTCTGTTTCCTTGCGTTGACTTTTTTTCTGTCGGCTCTGTTTTTCGATAAGCATTAATTCGAAGTTTTTTCTGGGAAAGTTTTTGAGTTTTTATCGTTTTTCTGCTTATGTTTTGTCGGCTTAATTTCCAAAATATGAAATTTTCTTCTGATTTAAAGGGGTGTTAATCACCCTTGCGATAAGCAACGGTATTGCTATCCGGTACTAGTCTTTTTTTCCTTGTAAATAACTATGATCACAGAATGATCAATTTGTCGGAATGGTAAGTTTAAAAACATGCTGTATTTCTTGAAAATCCAATCAAAACTAGCTTCATAAAGGTAGTAATAGTAATAAGGTGTAGTCCGTTTCCGGCAATAATAGTTTTTTTAATTGAATTTCTTAAAAAATGAGTTTTTTGGACTCGTATTTCCGGCGTAGTTCGTATTTTGGCCGTCGGTTTATTTTGTTTTTTAAAAATGGAATTTATTTTACCTGGTATTGTCTTATGGTCTTCTTTAAAAAGCTTGGATTCTATTTTGATTTAAATTTTTTTAGTATAATTGAAAGTTCTGTAATTTGTCATTTTACCAAGGCTGATTTTGAATAGTCTTATTTAATTAATTGTTTTTACGATTAAACGGTTTTGGCTCACTTGTTATCGGCTTAGTCAACTTATTTTGCGTATTTTTGAGGGCAAAAATTTCTGATCGACAAAATCAGTTTTTTTAATGAAAATGTATGTATGGAGTTTCATTTTATTTGAGATGCTTTCGAAAATTTTATCTTTTTTCGCTTAAATCTTTTGTTTTTCTCGACAACTACTTCACCGACTTTTGGATCAAACGAAAAGGCAGGCTGTTATATTGTGTGTATGCATATTTACACAGTCTCTTTTTACCTTACTCCACGTTCAGCGGCTTTCGAAAATATCATTCGAGGAATGTTTGACTCACTTTCTTGTATTTTTTCAGAGACTACCACGCCACATATGAAATTAATGTTTCAATAACAGAAACAGGTAGATCTTTTCTGCTTTAGCCGCTACGCCCTAATTTTTAAACGAAAAAAAGGTTTGGCCTCAAAAAGGCCTTTTTGTCAATTTGGTCAGTTTTTGAAATTTTTCCTATTTAGCAAAAAGTACAATTTCATTTCTGGAGCTGAGGGGTCAATAATAAAAGTCGGCAGTGAGCAAAATTGGTTTTTTTTTTCAAACACTGTTATACCTTGTAAGTTTCTTGTTTTTGAGAATAACTTATGGCAAAAAGTTTTATGGTTGAAACAAAATAACAGATTTCGGTTTTTTGTCGGTGCATCAGCTGGTACGCCCTTATTCATGTAGAATAAAAAGCTCCAGCTTCCAGAAAAGTTGAATTTGTTTGTTTTAATGACTGTTTTTTGGAATTTTTTTTACTTTCTCATAAACTACGGTTGAGTCGAAGGTACCTGTTGCGAGAATTTCCGTGGAGAAGCCGCGACTCCTTAATTTTCGTATGAAAAAAGTTGTGTGCTTAGAAAAAGTCTTATTTCTGAACTTTGAACATTTTTGCAAGTTTCACTTTTCCCAAACTACCCTGCCAAATCTGAGATTTAGATTTGTTACGATTCTTATTCATTACGATGCTTTTTAAAAATCTTTTTTCTACGCTTAGCGGTTTCGGCTCATGTTGTATCTATCAGATAATTGCTCATTTTATGTCGTCTGAAAGATAAAATATATTTTTCTGTTTCTATGTTTCAGGAGGGGTGGGATGTAAAAAAAAATGGTTTTCATCTTAATGGCTCAAAATGTTTAAACTCATTTGTTTTTCGGCTGAACGTTCGTATACCCAAATTTTGTCTCAACTAATGCTGGTCATTTTTTGCTGGTATTTCTCTGTAATTGAACATCAGTCGTGACAAATTTATGAAGTTTTTGTTTTCTTTTTGTGATTTCCTTCTCATTTATTTTTTTAGACTTTGCGATGTCCGTAAAATATATACTTTTTTGTGATTTCTGCGTCATTTGCTATTGGTCAGCTTGCAATTCTATGCTTACGTTATTTTGCAATTGTTCGTAAGCTTCGCTTCGCCTTAGTAAAATTAGATTTCCCAGCGGAATAGGAAAATACCTATTGATCCAGCTTTCGGAAATTGTCAGTTTACCAATTTTTTGTGGAGTTTGAATTTTTCCTAGGCTATCAAGTGTCAATGAACGTAGTGAAAACACTTTTATAGGTAATGTTTTTTGTTCAGGAAAGTCATAAAATGCTCTGATAAGCATCGAAGTGCATTCATACATATTAATACACCTATGTAAAAATGCGTTTTTTTATTTCAATTAAGGCTCAGTTGCTAGGCACATACTTTTCTCTTTGAGTCTCGAAAACAGAAGGTTTTTCCAATAAAAATTGTTTTTTTTTAGTCTCGTTGAGTTAATTGACTTTTCCAACGGTTTTTTGGCTGTTTTCATATGGTTTAAATTGGATTTTTTTGTTTCAGAAAATTTTGAGGAAGTTGTAATTGATGGAGGCGCAGAAGAACACGTGTGAAGTAATGTTTGAACTGCATGTTGCGTTGTTTTCATAAAAAAGAAGCCGTCTAAAGGAAAGCGCTGGAGTGAAGTTACGGAAACAATCCTGTATTACAAAATGTGTGCATTACTCAATAATTGATTTTCGATGTAGTAATACAATTATGTCCTCGGCTTAAAACATCTTGCAAACTGGTTAAAAATAAATTCATATTTAGCTTAAGTGTCATTTTAATACATAAAATAATTTGAGAGCTGTCAATTTAAATGTATATACTACTTTTTTTGCTGCCTTGATCAAAAGTTTTTCAATGAATTTTACAGAATACCAGAAGGTTAATAACATAGCCAACAAACAATTGGAAAAATTTCAATGAACGCAATTTAAAAAAATACTGACTTGTTTTATAAAGAAAAATCAATTTTTGGATATCAAAGAAAAAAATAGATACCCTTAAAGCTCTTTGAATTTCTAGAACAATTTATGATTGGCAATTTTTTGATAAAATGAACCAAATTTGAGAAAACTAGGCCAATGAGTAAAATTTTATTTATTCTGGGAAATCAGAAGATTAAATTCCATTTTCGAAACTAGAATTCGATGACGTTTTTCGTGACCTTTACTATTTGCTGTTCGATAGAGGAGTTTGCCCTCCTTTTAACGAGCCTGAACCAATTTTGAGTTTTTTCGTAAAGACAAAACTAAAAAATCATCGTGACCCATTTAAGAGGATTTTCAAAAAATTTTGTCGACCCCTTTTTTTAGGTGGACCAAACTGATTTTCCGAGCTCTCCCAAAGCACTCCAAAGACCCTGTTTTGGCCAAAATCTCTCCGCTGCAGGCAAACTTTCGAAAAACAGGCCAAAAAAGATGTTTTCAGGCAGTTTTTGGAAAAGTTTGACCAAAAAATCGCGTTTTTTCAGCATGCACTCCCACCTCGAAATTAGTACATATTGTCGCCAAAGGCGCTTTTAAAAAAGTTTTAGGGTCCGTCACCAAAAATGGATATCTCGAAATAGTACCAAGGTGGAACCCTTCGGGTCGACAGGGGATCGAATCCCTGGGGGGGGGGGGGCGTCCCCCTCCCCTAAATCCAAAAAATCCACTCCTGGATGATTCGACATATCTCCAGATGAAGAAACTTACGGAATAATTTGCCAGACCTAAATATTGTTAAGTTATCGAATCTATTAAAAAACACTTATTTTGTCAGTTTTTTTACGCTCTCTTTTGTATTTCTAGGCACATTGAGGGTCGAACACCAATGATAAGAATTCCTTTTTTTTTCAAGCGTGAATTTTTCAAACTTCAATTTAAAGCGTGAACTCAAGGGGGACTGACAGTCTTTCCTCAATTCTGGTTGCCATTTTTTGCAAAAGGTTTTCTTTTGGTACTCTTTTGCGACCCATCTTTTTAGCTGAGACCAACCTCCAAATTTTCCGAAGGCGCCAATTTTCCCTAAATTTAGAGGGGGAGTTAAAGTTTTCGTCAAGGTATTCAAAAAGTGCCCAAAAGTTCTTTTTTGGCCTGTTTTTTTTTCAAAATATCGTCTGCGGAGCAGAATGACAAAATACGGTAAATCTAAAACAGCTCGGAAAACAAAATTATTTGGTGGACAACGGTCGACAATTTTTTTTTTTCAAAAAAGTATCCTCGCCTTAAAAGTTTCCAGCGCACACCACTAACATAACTCAAAATTGTGAAAGCACGCTATCATTATCTGTAAGTTTTTACTTGTGTACATGAAGTTTAATTTTTTGCGTTCACAGTCAAACGTTGATCCGTTTTTACAATTGGGGAAAGTTAAACGAAAAAGTTTGCAGCGTTGGAGTTTCTCTTAACTGATTAGTCGTTAAGAGATTTTTTTGCAGACCAATTTTTTGTTGTTTTTGTTAACATCTTCCACTCCGATGCAACTCGCTCCACTTTTTTTACCTTTACTGCACAGGTTTCATCCAATCACGACTGAAAGGACTTTAATATGATAGCATACTCTATGCTCGAAGAGTCTTCTGTGAGGCACCTGAATTGCTTGAAAAAGTTCCTGAAGCCAGTGTTTTCCAAGTCTTTCAAGAGTGTTTCGATTAATAAAATACTGAGAAATCCCGTTTTTATAAAGATAATTAACTGAACGAAGAAAAGACACTTTTTGTTTCTTTCGCGGGTTGAAATTTGCTTTTTAGTGGATAGAATTTTAATTTATTTTTAAATTGGCTTTTTCTTTTTTTGCCGAATAAAAGGTAAGTTAAGTTAGGCTCTCCGATAACAAAAATGCAAATGGCTAAAAAAAACTGATTTATTGTTTCGAAAGTGGATTCAAATTTCTGAATTGCCAGCGGAATTAAAAAAATACCTTACCCATTGACCAATTTTTGTTTCGAAAGTGGATTCAAATTTCTGAATTGCCAGTGGAATAAAAAAATACCTTACCCATTGACCAAGTTTTGTTTCGAAAAGTGGATTCAAATTTCTGAAATCCAGCTTCAAAAAATACAAATTGAACCAGAGTTAGCTTTATGGAAAGCGTGTCAATCATGAAAGGTTCGTGAATTTTGAAGTGATATAAAGTGATTTATTTTTTCTGCGAAAGTTGGAAAAAATAATAAAACTTAATTTTTTTTTAATGGTTTTCTTGATTTCGTTGACATTTTTCCAACTGTCTGTTGGCTATGTCTGTAATAGGAGTTTGCTTTTAGTTGAAAATGGATTATTTGTTAAAAAATTTGAAGTTGCTGTGCAATTGTGAATCCATTGCAGCTCTTCCCGATCTGGTTTGGAGCGAAGTGGAATCATCGTTGAAAAATCTCTCAAAATTGAATGACCCTCACAATGAGCTGATCGATTTCATGAAGACTGAATTGAGGTCCTGTTTAGCATCTTTTTCTTGTGAAGAAAATTTTGAAGCTTATGCAGAAGAAAATTACGTGTACCAGGTGTTCCAGGCTGCCGCCTTACTTTGCCGTTTTGAGGTGAGTAAATTTGCTATTTCATTTTGTGTAACACTTTGATGTCATATCATAATGAATATCTTCAGTACTCTGGTTGAGAATTCTGCAGGCCATATAAAAGGTGTCCGAGTCTTTAGGGGAGACCCTCGAAGGTACCGAATGATTGAAAATGATTAAGGCCTTTCAGAATTCGGTATTCAGAAAGAGTAAGCGTGAATTCATTATTTAAAGAAGTAAGCGTTTAAAAGAAGTATCAAAAGTTCATTCTATTTTTTTAACCTAAAAGCTTTTAAAAAGTACAGGTTTAAAGACTCCTCGCATTTCAATGGATTGACAATTGCGAAGCAACTTCAAGTTTGTCAAGAAATAATCCATTTTCAACTGAAAGCAAATTTTTGAGCATTTGGTCATTAGAATATCCCCCACTTCTTTCACCCGGACTAACTACATTGCTCTCCTCGCATTTCATTGTCCCGTACGTTTTTACTTAGCTTGTTTATTTTTTTTAATTTAGGGAACTTCAATTTGATTTTTTTGGTCGAAAGAGTTGCAAAAAAGCCAAATGTACGATTTTATTGACTTTTTTCCACTGTTTATTGGTTATGTTTACACAAGCAAAGCTTGTGCGGTAGTGTGAACTCGCTTTTTTGCCAACCTAAGTCTCAAATATTGTTGCGATGCAAATATTGGAGGGACAATGGTCATTTTGAAAGTGTTCATTTTGATCAATAACCAGCTGTTAAGTACAACCAATGCTAAGGATATTAACACAGACTATTATATTACAAATACAGCAACAAAAACAACAGAAAGACTTAAATTCCTTCCACGAAGGTATAAAGAAATGTAATAACAAAATCAAGACGTACAAGTAGAACAATTACAGTTAATAAACCAAGAGCACGAGTTTTGCATTGAGTATGCATTCGCTGTGATATTGAATAGAAATGTTTTAATGTTTCTCCTGAAGGTAGCGGGACTATCATAAATGTCGATTCCAAGACCAGGATGGGCGAGAAAATGATTCGCAAGTTTCATCACACGATTAAAGAAGGACTCCCCAGTTCGTCGTTTCCTATTGCGTCGGATCTCAAACATAACTGTATCGGTGACTGGTCATTTCCGGTGCATAAGAGACAAAGTGGAACAAATCAAAATCTAATTTGTCGTTGAGAAGTTTGTTGAAAAGGGTGAGATCATTGAGTTGGTGGATTAGAGAAATAGGCAACATATTTGTCACACGGAGTAGAATGTTGTAAGGAGCTGTGTAGTTGCGTGTACTCCATCTGAGCGCTCTACATTGGAGCGCTTCTAGCTTGCGGATACTGGTAAGGTCTGGGAACCAGGTTTGAGAAGCATATAGAATAACTGATAGAACACATGACTTATAAAGTTGGAGTTTGGTAGTGGTGGGGCAGGTAATTGGGATGTTTTTTTTTTCAACACGAACAAACTCCTGTTGGCTGAAGATAATTTTTTTCCAATATGCGGTCTCCACGACAGGTCAAAGGCCACCCATACACCAATGTCTTTGATGCAAGAGACGGTCGATATCTGATGATTTCCAATTGTGAGTTGATATGTGTCGTCAGTTTTTCCGAATAACATCGTTTTACACTTGTCTGGGTGAAAAGTCATTGAGTTCTCGATAGACCAAGCGAGGAAATTATCAATATCGTGTTGTAGATTCTTTGCTATGGGTGATTCTGTCGAAATCATTTTGCTATCATCGGCAAACAGAAAACAGTCGGAGTATTTACAGTAGTCTGGGAGGTCATTAATGAATATAATGAATAACAACGGACCTAAGACGCTCCCTTGAGGAACACCACTAGTAACCGAAGCAATGTAAGAGAGAACCCCGTTAATGTTCACACATTGAGTTCTGGCAGCGAGGTAACTCCGGATGAGTTCAAATAAAAACTTGGGTCGAGGCCCATTTTTTTCAGTTTGTGCAATAAAACGACATGAGGCACTTTGTCGAATGCTTTTTGAAAATCGAAGTATACCGCGGAGGGCTTCTTATTGTTCTCAAGTTGATTGTAGATATTGTCAAGATAGGCTAGTAGTTGAGTAACCGTGGATCGATGTTTTCGGAAGCCGTGTTGTTGCTTGGCCAACTGCGACTTTTCTAGGATAAAGAAAGTTGAAAATTAGTCGCTCCAGAATGAGAGAGAGCCGAGGTAGAATGCTAATGGGGCGATAATTGGAAATAAGTGACCGAGAGCCATCTTTGAAGATAGGTGTTATGTAACTGCATTTCCATGTAGTGGGCCACACACAAGAGGATAGAACAAAGGAGAAAAGAATGTAAGCAAAAGGGGCTAATACTGCTGAGGCGTTGTGATACAGGCAGGACGGAAGGCCATCGGAAGACTGAGAATGTGAATCAGGGCATTTCGACAAGAGTGTTTCAACTTTTTTTACATCGAAGTTTAAATCATTCAGAAATATACTGGGTTGTTGGTCACCAGGTGGTTCAGGATTATCTGTTGTAATTGGATTAAACACGGAAGCGAAAAGTCCATTGAAAAGATCGGCTTTGTTCCGGTCATCGGTTGCGAATTTTGTTTCCCAGGTGAGTTTAGATGGCAGGGGGGCTTTCCCTGAGAATCGTTTCAGAAACTTAAAAGCTTCTGATGTAGACATCCAGCAGATGTCTTTTAGCAGAACGACTTTATCGAGCTCTGCCGACTCGAGAAAATTGTTTCTTGTAGCGTGTAGGAACTCTTCATTGAAGATTGAGTTCAATTTATGCTTCTTCCTCTCCAAGGTTTCTAGTTTATTAAGCATGTGCATTGTGTGAGAGGAATAATAAAAAGGCCTAGTGGCGCGTTTCTTGCGTTTATGAGGGACCGTAGAAGAAAGTGCAATGTGGACCATACTAGTCCATTCTGCACTGAAATCATTCAGAGACATACAGTCAATGGCCTGTGCCACACGAGTAATGGGTGGGAGGGATAGGGCGAAACGTTCAGGATTGAAGGAACTCCAGGCTAGCTGTTGGTTGGAGATGACGGCTGTATTCTAGTGGCTTTTCGAGAGTTGAAACAGTACACCAGCATGATCTGATAGGTTGCTCCATTTCGGGTTTTCGATGTGTTCTATTATATCAGTGTTGGTTAATAGTATAATATCCAGAAGATTGCCTTGTTTGTGGGTCGGGAAGGACAGAACTTGTTGGAGATTATTCTCCTGGCACCAGTTAAGGAAAGGAAGGTCAACAGCTTTGGTTGATTGATAGGTCGGCCAGTCAATATCAGGGAAATTGAAGTCACCGAGTATTAAAGTTTCATAGTGAAGACTATTTGAGGAATTGAAAGATTCTGTAAACAGGGTAAAATATTCAGATAAACAGTTACTCAGAGTCTGCGGCGAAATAGCATAGTTGCTGCTTCTTGGCGGATTATAAACCGTGATAATCAACAACATTGTAGAGTGGAATGTGATGATACAGGCACAGGCAAAGTCTTTGTCAACTCCAATGCTGGTGAAGTCAACACTATTAAATACAGAATTATTGGCAGCAATGAGGACGCCTCCGTGCGCCCCATTTGTTCGATCTGACCGACTGATAATATTATAGTTGCTCGCAGGAAAGACACTCATATCAGGGTGGTTACTATCTAGCCATGTTTTTGATAGTAAAAAGATATCAGGGTTGTAAGAAGTGAAAAAATTCAGATATGCTTATCTTCTCTGAAGACTTAGAAGGCTTTGGACATTCATCATCATCAGGGAAATATTGTTACTCGGAGTTGTCAGTCACAATTGAGAGATTGTGGAATGGAGAGTGTCAACATCGGCTAGTGTGTCAAGCTGTTTGTCTTTATAGTAGAGAGTAAGATTTTTGATTTTCATGTCTTCTTTCCTGATGCCCTTTTGAGAGAGAAGGTAGCGTGTTTTAAGCAGTGCTTCCTCTTTTTTTCTTTCTTCTTTGGTGCAGTTGCCTCGAAGGAAGAAGGAGGAGTCCTTGAGCAGGCCACAGGAAGCCTTGACCCGTTTGGCGGTTATTGCATTGTGAAATTGGACGATGAGAGGACGAGGCTTTCTTGCGTTTTTGATAAATGAGCCTCTACGGTATACATCGGTGATGACAGCATCCGCGCACTTCACAATCTTCAGAACTTTTTCTACATTTGAGTTTTCTTTGAGGAGTCTATCAGATGGAGACTTGAAATTTGTCACTTCGGGCACGTTCAGTATTACTACTGATTCTTTTCGATGTTCATCGTTGTCAGGAGGAGGAACATCAGCTGGTTTTGTGGTGGAGGTTAATCCATTGACTTTTGTTGTGATTTCCATCAGAGACTTTTTCACTCCTTTGCTTTCACTTTTGGCTTCTGCTGAACAAACTGCTTTGACCTGGGTGGAAAGATCATTAATGGAATTTTCAAGTTTGGGAATGTTCAGTAGAAGTTCTTGGTGCCTGTTTGCCGTTCGTAACTGTGATATGGACTCCCGTAGGAGGCATAGTAGGCTTTCTTTGGTTTGCTTGGATGTGATTTTATTGAAGTGTTCGGCGTTGGCGTGTACAAGTTCTTCTATTGTTGGAAAGTAATCGCGTTTCTGGTGACCATCCATTGCAGTGCAAGAAGATAATCCAATAGGAAGAGAGGAATAAGAATAAGAAGTGAATGAGAGAATGTAATACGAGAGGATACCGCCTGCAGACGCAAACGTCCAAACTACAGGGATTCAAAAGTCAAACTCCAAAAGTCGTCGGCCAATTTAAATAGCACTTTAGCTTCAAGGTATCGTGGATCTGTAGCGTAGAAGTAGGGAAGGAGACCCGTAACAAAATAAGAGGGTTTGAACCTGGCAGGGTCGGATGTTTGTAATGAACTTTTTAGTATACTAGTTAAAGTGCGTCCGCTCTATAAATTGCGGCATGTTAGTTGGTAAATGTCTTTTTTCAAATTGACTGCTAATGCGTCATAATCGGCTTGCTTTACTTAGCCATTATGTAGACTCAAAGTCTTTCTCATTCAGTTTTTCCCAGTAGCGTTATCGGTCTTGTTTTTGCTTGTGTATGCGAAGTGAAACTTCGCCTCTGTGTTTTAATCATTACAATTACAGTGCTGTTTTAAATTATCTGGACCAAACGAGTACAACTTTAGATACAAAACGCGTATTTCTCAAACTCTGTTGAGCCTAGACGAAAAATGATGGAAACGAAACTTAGCGAGAAATAAGTGAAATTACCAATTTAATTTGTTGCAAGTTATTTTTTGGCTTTTTTTTAAATCAAAAATTACACGATTGCTGTCAAAGTTATCAAATTGAGCTTCTTATGTGGCCCAACAAAGCTTAAGAGAAGATTCCTCTTTCAATTTTTGTAATTGAGTTCACTTTTGTTTTACTGCCACATATTGAGACTTATAGGGGTGAAAAAACGAGATGATTTTCACTTAAATAGGTCATGATTTAATATGTATTTTTTTTCGGGAAAAAGTTTTTGCTCAAATTTAATTTCGGGGTTTGACTAATGATTTCTTTCCAAATTCACTTTGTTTCCTTTGTTTAATGAAGGCAAACTCCAGTTATCGAACAGCGAAAAAGGCAAAGGTCACGAAAAACTACTCCTAGCTTTAAAAATGGACTTCAATTTGCCGAATTCCCAGCGGAAAATAAATTAAATTTGATCCAGTTTTCTCTAAATAGGACAAAAAAAAGCCAATCAAAAGTTTTCTGAAATTCCTTTAGGTTCAACTTGATAAGATTTTTTCTTCAAAAGTTGACAAATGTTCGAAAATATTCAATCATTTTTTTCCGTTTCTTTATTTTTCTGCACTTCCAATTTTGTTTGATATTTTTCCTAAATAATCATAGTATTTTCATTTTGTTTGAAAAATGTTTCTTTTTTGCAAATATTGTAGTTTTTCTGGAAAACTATACCAATCTTAAAAAGCAATACCAATAGAAAGACTGTCTTTTCCCTATGTGCTTGCATACTGCCCAAGTCTCTTTTTACTTCACCCACCGTCTTCGAAAAAGTCTCTATTTGACCCATAATTTGATTTTTTCGTTTTCTCCAAAACTACCCACCGAAATATGAAATTCTGGGTTCAATAGAGATAATGGGAAATGGAAACTCACCTGCTTTAGCCGCCGCTCCCATTTTTAAATACCAAGCTATCGCCCTCGGAAAAGGCACATTTTTGATTTTTTGTTCGTTTATCGAAAGTTTTTGACTTTTCTCGAAAACTACCCTAGCAAGTCTGAGGTTAATCGGGAAATCCGGTTTGAGGAATTTTCTCTGCTGGAGTGACCTCGAAATAGTTTGAACTGAAAAAATTAATGGATTTCGGAAAGTAAAGTTTTTGAACTTTTGACCGTTTTTTTATAAACTTTCGTGATTTTTCTTAAAGTACCCCATCAAATCTGAGATGAAGGGTTCAATTGGTAGAACCGGTTGCGAGAATTTTTCCTGCAAAAGCTGAGACTTCTTGATTTTTTCTAAGAGAAATGTTACGTCCTCGGGAAACTTCGATGTCTTGAAATTGTTTACTCTTCTCACTTACTTTAGTAGAGAAACAACTAAGATTTTGGGCCAAGTCCAGTTTTTGAAATTACGCATTTCGTCTGTTTGAAATTACGCATCTGTGTAAAAAGATCTAATACGTACCTCCAGCTTTAACAGGGTCCCTAGTTGTCTTTTATCGAGACTACTAAATTTTGGCTCGCCTAGTTTTTTTTCCACATTTTTCATGCTTTCAATGCTTTTGGTTTTTTATGTTCGTTGTATGACAGGTGGTGCGAAGATCCGCTTCGCCTCGGTGTTCCACCATTTCTTATTTTCAATTATTTGAGAAAACCGCCGTTCAGTTTCCAAGTTTTTTTGTTTAATACGGTTAGTTTTAATCAGCACTGTGGACCATATATCCAAATAACGAAAGATGAATAAGTCTTAAATGCAAAATTGTTCTGTGAAAGAAAGTCGACATTAAAGTTTTCCTATTTTGAATGTTTTTGCCCGCATAAGACAAGGGGCGAGTTTGACTTCCTGACCAGGCAAGGGTTTTTAGGTACCATTTTTCGACATCCATTTATGTCAACCAGCCCTAAAGTTTATCTAAGGTGCCTTTGGCGCCAATAAACACAAAACTCAAGTGGGACGGCGAAAAAACGCAATTTTTTCGGCCAGCATTCTGAAAAGTACCCACAAACGCTGTTGGAGAAAATTTGGGCAAAATTCAGTCTTTTCAGTGTGTTGTGAGAATTGGTAAAATCATTTTGGCCGACCTAATTTTTTAAAGCATTGTTTTTCAGGAATATCGTTCTATCGGCCAATCAGAAAATTTTCACATTCCCTTGAACATTCATCTACAGAGGTTAAGAGGGAAATCACTGAAATGTCGAAATTTATTACAAGAACAATCGATAGAAATCCCTCCTTTGCTGCGCTGTCTGGCCAACTTAGCCTATAACTACATAGAGATTCAGAGTGCACTGCAACATAACATTCCGCTGCTGGCTCAATGGATTATCGAAATATCTGGGGTAGTCCAAATAACAGGTTTGTTGTGTTTTACTTACAATTAAATTTTGGATACAAAACTCTTCTTTGCTTTTTTGTCTCGATTCACCTATATTGATATGCACACGTTTGAGTCAATTTGTCCTTCTTCAATTTTCCTTGATCAGAAAATTTTTGTAGTTCTTATATTTCCCCATTTTTGGTCGCATTTTTAAAAATACATATCAAAAGTCAATTTTGAATCAACACTTGAAAACTAAGTTAATATGCATTATTATCCTCAAAAACAATGGTGAGCTGCTTTTCGAGAACCCTAAAATGTCAAATTTTAACCAGATTTTTGTTGTATTGAAGTACACTCTTTTGAGATTTTAGCAGTCTCGCCAATGAAGACAAAAAACAGTAAAATAGTAAACAATAAAATTCAGGGAAAATAATTTTGAAAATATAATTTTGAAGTTTGGCCAATAATTTTGATGCTGTACGCTGTACAAGAATTTGCTTGCATTTAGAAATCACGGAGCCTCACTCGGATCTGATAACCGTGTGCTGCGGATCTCTTCAAAACCTCCTGATCGAGACCGAAAAGGAAACCTCAGTTATACCAACTCCAGCTACAAATTCAACGCCTTCCTTAGTCTCATCACTAATCTCTATTATCGGTCATCTTGAGTCTCTAAACAGTTCTGAAGGTATAAGTGTGGTGTGATAGTTTGGAAGGTATAAGTGTGATAGTAAAAATTATGACGTTTTTTTATAAATAGTAGGAAACCTAATTTCAGAATCGTTGCCGTTCATGCCTTTTTAGGTCCCCAAACCTGTGTTTTCATATGTACAACTTATAGTTTTGCCTTTCAGTGGTATCAAAATGGGGATTCAAGTTAGTCAATCAGTTTCAAACCCATTCGATTTTCATGCTTAGCAACTTATGACATGCTGGTCAAGCAACTTGTTATACCTCAATTAACACTTAAGTCTTCGAAATCGTTGGACTTTTCGTGAAAGTTGAAGGACCGATGCTCAATATTTGCTTCCTCTGTGGACCCCGCTATCATTCTTTTATGTTGTAGATTATGTTGAGAAAGCAATCATCTGTTCGTTCGCTTTACTGGAGAGAGTTCTGGATTTTCCTGATGGTCGAAAGTTGTGGCTGGTGTCGGAAGCAAGTGTTGACTGGACGTTGGAGAAATTGAAAGGTGGTTTTGACGATGCAAGTGTTGATAAGTTGGCGTTGTTAGTTGCTTGTGAAGCTGCATTGATGCAAGATGGAATTGGGCATAATAAGTACGTCGACCCTAATTTCACGTCATCCAAGTTCATTAAGTTACATTGCTATTCTATTTTTGTACGCAAACGAGCTCGCGAGCGTAGTGTTATAAGATTTGTTCACTTTTTCCTGCGCAAGTCGCACTTTTTAGAGTAAAACTATGTTCAGTTTATTAAGCGCGTTCCTTGCTGCCTGATATCGAACGGTAAGTAATAGAAACCAACGCTTGTGTTATATTGCGACTTAACTTTCTCCTGACTAACTCGCATAAATTAGTGCTCATCAAGTTAGTGCCTAATTTCAGATCATTCTCGGCGTTTTATCGTCATGTGTTTTATCCACTTTATTGGCAGCTGGCGTTTGATTGACTCATCGATACTATGGCATAATTGTGGATATGTTTGACTCCCGGTCGGAGATCCGAATCGCGTGGGGGTTATTCTTTTTTTTTCACTTGCAATAAGCAAGGATATTGCAAACGGGTTCTAGACTTTTTTCCTGTAAAGAACTTTGTTCACAGATTGGACGAAATGGTAACCGTTTCAATAATGCCATGGTTAGTGTAGTTGTTGCATATTAGGTTTGTGATTTGGGTGTGTGTTGAGAGTTTTCTGTTTTTTTTCTTGAGATGGCTTACAATCTTGCCGAAAATTGTTGTTAGAATTTCGGCACTGTTGTAGAGATAATTTAATTTTTTTTTTAGATTTATTTCAATATTTGTTATTCTTTTTAACGAATTAAGCATTTTCTCTTCTTCAAACTGAAAAAATTTTTTGAAGTGCATTTACGCCTCTGGAATATTTATGCATATGTGTGTTTTAGACTGTTCAGCAAAGGTCTAATCCTCGTTTGTGAGAAGATTCTGCATGTAAATCCAGCTGATCTTGGAGAAGATCACGAACAATGGTACTCCTCAGCATGCAATGTAATAATTGGAATTTCAATGGACCAAGAAGTTTCTTCACATATTCTGAACGGCAGCGAGTCACATCTCAAAGAACTGCTGAAGACTATGTATTTGCATGAGTATTCATCATATGTCAGAGCATCAGCTTGTTTGCTTATTGGGAATTTGGCCTGTGATGAAACGAGCGTGACTAAATGTTTCGAAATGGGTCTGTATCATGATTTCATAGCTCCCATGTTGTTGGCATTAGAAACTGAATATTCAACAGTCGAAAGAGGAAGCGAACGAGAAAAAGAGTGTTTAATAATGAAGAGCTCGGCTCTAGTTTCGATGAAGAATTTTCTAGTTCCACAAGCAACAAGGAAATCGATATCCGAGGATGTCCAAATTTGCGACGCGTTGGTGAATTGTGCTATCAAAACACCACCTATGGATACCAAAAATTATTTCCAAGTGCTGCAAAATATACGCCTGTTAGCTTCAACTGGCCAAGATTTTAGTGGTTTCAGCTTCAGTAAACGGTTAATATCGAGTTTGAGCTGCGATCAGAATAGCTGCGCGAGAAAATTCTGTGATAAAGTTCTAGAAACTTCTAAAGACGTGCCTATCGATCATATAAAAAATGAAAGCAGCCGCCTACTGGCTACCTTAATTGCTAATTGTGACGTCACTGACCAATCAAAGTTATCGAGTGACGCACTTGTTGCTTTTTTTGCCCAATCAGCTGTCAGTATTTCCGAAATGTTGTTGCATGGGTCGTACGTAATGATGAACGAAGGAGGATTGGCACTGTCTATTGTGGTTAATCTGAACAGTTTCGAGTCAATGAAATTTGAGTTCGAGCTAATCAAGAAACTCGTGGAGAATATCATTCGTAAGTGAATCACTTTTTGAGTTTCTAGTTTTTTTTGTATATTTTTTATCGTTTGCTTATTGGCTTATTACTCAAGCAAAGATTGTGTTATAGTATGAACTATGTTTTTTTCCAGCCTAAGTCGCAAATATTGTTGCGATACAAATATTGTAGCGACAAAATGTGTTCATTTTGAAAGTTTTCATTTTGATCAATAACCAGCTATTTAGTATAGCCAATGCTAAGGATATTAACACAGACTATTATATTATAAATAGCACTTTAGTTTCAAGGTATCATAGATCTGTAGCGTAGAGGTAGGTAAGGAGAACCGCAACAAAAAAAGAGGGTTCGAACCTGGGCAAGCTCGGATGTTTTAAATGAACTTTTTCTTATACTAGTTAAAATGCGTCCGCTCTATAAATTGAGGCATGTTAGTCGGTAAATTTCTTTTTTTTTTCAAATTGACTGGTACTGCTAGCGCGTCATGATTGGCTTGCTTCACTTAGCAATTATGTAGACACATAATTGGCGTGCGTCACTTAAGAAATTTTGTAAACCCAAAGCTTCACTCATTCAGTTTTTCCCAGTAGCGTTGTCGGTCATATTTTTGCTTGTGTATGCGATGTGCAACTTCCCCTCTGGGTTAATTCAATGAATCAGCTGGATTTAAACATTGAAAATAGTAACGAGTGCCCTTTTTAAAGAGTAATGAAAGCAGTGAAGACTCTTGTGTAGGTCTTGGTGATTTTTTTGTTGTTTTTTCAGGAAAAAGTCTTAATGCCCTAATAACTACAGATGTACATTCATACATATTAATGCATTTATGAAATATGCACTTATTGAGTTCAATTGGAATTCATCTGCTGAATGTCATGTTAATAGCACTCTCTAAATACAAACGTGGAAATGGCGCTGAAAAACGTGAAGATTTCTAGTTTCGAAAGTGGAATTGAATTTTTATAGATTTCCACCGCAATAAAAACTTTACCTATTGATCCAGTTTTCTCAAATTGGGTTAGTGGTATCAGAAAAATGCCAAGTATAACTTGTTCTAGAAATTCAAAGAGCTTAAAGGGCATCTATTTTTTTCTTTGAAATTTGAAAGCCGAGGTTTTTTCAACAAAGTCAGTGTTTTTTTGTTTGCTTGCAATAATTACTCTTTTCCAAATGTCAGTTTGGCTATGTTTTGCAATAGACATTGTTAAAAGGAACTTTTATATTTTCCTGCTCATGTTTTGCAATAGACATTGTTAAAAGGAACTTTTATATTTTCCTGCTCAAAGCAAATTGATTTGTTAAAGAATAATGAACGATGTGAGTACTCTTGTATGAGTCTTGGTGTTTTTTTTTCAGGCTCAGTTTTGATTTTTTTTGAGGTTTGACTTTTGATTTCTTTTCAAGTTCAGTTCATTTTGTTTGTTGAAAGGAAGGCAAACTCCACTTTCGGCCAGCAAAAGTCTAAAGGTCACGAAAAACGTGATCGACGTCTAGTTCCGAAAGTGAAATTTATTTAATTATCAGATTGATTTTCCTGCGGAGTTTACAATTTTACGAATTGATCCTGTTTTCTCATATTGGGTTGTTATTGCATTTCGCATTGCTCATAAATTGTTATTGAAATTCAAAGAGCTTTAAGGGCATGTATTCTCTTAAAAAATTGAATTAAAAACTCTCTAAAATTCGAAACGCAAAAAAAAGAAGTCAGTTTTTTGTCAGTTTTTTTTTGTTTTCATGCGTTCATTAATATTTTCCAACTATCAGTTGGCTATGTTTGGTTCTTTTCAGACGCAGTGAGATCCAACGTCCAGGCGGATCTGAAGATGTCGTCCCAGTCTAATATGCCACACCACCTGGTCAACATCAACTCACAACTACTCCAGATTATGCTCAGATTCATCTCAAAACTAGACTCAGATGAAGAGAAACGACTGATGAATGAAGTCATTAAAGAAAGTCTAATCTCACAGATGGAGTTTGAAACTTTGATAAGTAATGAACTCACAAAAACTCTAGCTGAAAAAATAAAGCAAAGGATTGAATGAGTTTTCTATTGAATGATTATTTACTAAATTATGTCGTATTCGGTTGTCTATAATTTTTTTTATCGTGCATGAAATACAGCTATATTTATAGTGAGTATAAAAAACTTGAAATTTATGTAGAAGTTTTTAATCTAGAGCTAGACTACCAAATGCTGGAAAGCGTAACCGTTTGAGGTCATTAAAAATACAATCTTTCGCGGATTATTTCTACCTCTACTTGGGTTCAGCAGGCTTGATACAAGCAAAAGCAAAAATACTGAAAATAGGAGTTAGTCAGAAGTTAGATTTTAGCCAATTGTAAATATTCAAATCGTTAAGAATCTTATTAATCAGATGTTTAGTTTTAGTTTCTTTCGTGATGCGAAATTCTTTAAGGAAAACAGGTGTTATTACAAATAGTCTTCTGTTTAATGTGAAAACTCCACAGACCTGTCTAAGTATCAGTTTCAACACAAGAAAACTTGAAACGGAATCCAAACCTAACAAACGAATAAAAAATCCGGAGTAATTTAGTAATTTCAAATGTAATTCTTAAATTTGGAAATTATTGCTGCTACAGATGTCGTTAGCTTTTCCCTGCGAGCGCTTTGATAATCTTACCAAATCTTTCATTGTTCCTACATACAACTAGGTCTAATCGTCTAGCAATTTAATATAATATCTGTTATTTATGTGGTGTGGTCCATTTAAGACAATTCAGCCAAATTTATATGAGCGAAGCATAATATATTAAAAGGCGGGGCCTTGATTCTTGCGGGGCCTAGGAAATTAGACGATAAGCAAATTAGACGGATGCTACAAAAACGAAATTAGACGAAATTTATTTTTTACAGATCTGGCATTTTAGACGAAAAAGTTAAGAAAAACAAAGGGCCAACAAAATTTTTTCTTAAGAGTCAAGTTTCACAATACAAAAAGAACATAAAGTGTCAATACTTATCAAAACAATTAGTTTAAATGAACATAAAATGTCAAATCCGAAAATTACAGGAGAGTTTTGAATTGAATAAATTATGCATGATTGACTTGTAGAGTTTTTGGCCACCGAAATTTGAGTGTTGTCTGCAAACAATTTTATTTTTCTCACGTAATTTGTCTGCAAGCACATTATGATAATATATATTCAATGTATTCAATCTGGCATTTTAATTCATATTCAATACATATGTATTCAATACATATGTATTCAATACATATGTATTCAATTCAACTCTTGCACGTGCTCCTCTGCTTTCCAATGCTGCGTTACAAACGAGTTACTCAGAGATCCGGCTGAATTGTCTGGCTAAATAAGTTGGTTTACTTTTGGCTCTGATTGTTTAAACTATAAATTTTCTTTGACTGCATTATCTGTGCACAATTATTTTACTTCGTTGGAGAAAACGTCAACAAGCTTTTCATTTATATTCTCATCATAAGTATGATTCACGTTTCAGTTGATTCTGTCGGGTCGTTTATGAACTGTTGCGCGAATTCACAACAAAAAACATAAGTACGTTTCAGAATCAATATTCAGGGACTCTTATATAGGGCTTGACAATTTTTTTTGTTTATTTTTCATGACTTAAGGTTTATTCATGCTTAAATTTGACTTCTGAAGGTTTGACTTAGGTTTTTTCTAAGTTCAATTCATTTTTTTTGTTTAAAGGAAAGCAAACTCGATTATCGATCAGCAAAAGTGTGTTGATCACGAAAAACTCGATCGACTTCTATATTTTTAAAGGTGTATTTTATCTTCCATATTTCCCAGCGGATTAAACTTGCCTGTTGACCCAGTGTTTATCAAATTGAGTTAATTTTTATCAAAACAGTACAAAAAAAAATTTTTGTCTAAAATTCAAAGAGCTTACAGGACATAAACTTTTTTGAATTTCGAAAGTTGATGTTTTTTTTAAAAAATGAAGTCAGCTTTTTTCACTGCATTCATTGACTTTTTTCTAACTGACTATTAGCGGTGTTTGGTATCACCATTTTTTGTAGACCAAACGTTTTATTTTATCAAGACCTGCTGCCAAAAAAAATCTAATTTTTTAATATAAAATTTAACGCAATTCATTTTAGCATCCTGTTTACCCCAAATGAAACCAAGGTTACTGACTGTGTTACTAAAAGTAGCAAAACTCTGTGTTTTTAAACAAGCGCCGTATACGGTTTTGTTGCGTATTTAGGCGATAGCAACATATCAGCGAATACTTGAAACTGTCTTATATAACTCAAAATTCAAGTTTATTTAAATGGGAACAACGGTAACATCAATTTAATCAGCAAAAAAAAACATTGGTGATTTGAAGCCAAAAAAATGCGCGTGAGTTTTAATTTTAAATGGATAATATAATGCGAACCAAAATAGAGCAACTTTTCAAAGAAAACCATCGAAACTTTGAATTTTCATGCTTACAATATTGAGATACTGATTGCATTTAAATGGAATGACAATGGATAGAGGAGGCATAGAGTGCATGGAAAAGTTAGTAGTTTACCATCATTTTCTCATTTTCTGGATTTAGAAGCTTCGAATGTGATGAAATAAATTGCTTTCAGCGAATTTCTGTCCTCGCAAACATCATTCTCGTTTTCTGGCGGAATCGTGATGCTCGTTGATACTCTTCCAGTAACCCTGAAGTCTCCATTCTCTCCCAAGTTTTTCCAGCTTTCTGTTGCATGAGAGAGTCTAAGGAAGGCTTGGCTCGCTGACTCGGAGGTAGCAACTGGATAGCTTTCTTTCGTTGGGAATTGAGAGTTTGTTTTTGAGATGGTGTCAAAGAGTAATAGAAAAGACCTGAACAAACCGTCAAATTTGGCAAAATAAAAGAGTGGTAATATAAATTCTGCAGTTTTCCTTTATTTACGCGTTTCTGAAGGACCTTCATGTGGTACAGGCATGAGTTCAACTTTGATCTCATCTTCTGAATATGTTTATCCCAATTGAGTGTTTTTGATATTTGACATCCAAGCAGTTTCACTACATTAACTTCTTGAATGTTAATACTATTGATTATCAGACCATGGCTCTGCGATTGTTTCCTCCTACTGAAATTCAGCAATTTTTTTTGCCAGTGTTAATGACCAAGCATTTTTCTTCATTCTGTTGAATCACCTCCTTTGCTGCGTCGTCAAAACATTTTTGGGTTTCCGCCTCTATCGTAAAGTCATCTTTAAGCTTCACTAGTAAATCTTTCGTGCACGAGATATTTTGAATATACATAGGAAAAAAATGGACCTCAGAACACTTCCCTGAGGTACTCCAGCTGTCATTGTATATACCTGTTCGCTATTAAGAATCACAAACTCACGATATACTAATAGTAATTTCAATAACACTAGTTTCAACTGAACTCTAAGGGATCTATTGGGTCTAAGAATCAAAAATTATATAAATTGTTGTAAATTAGTTTCCCGTATGAGTCACTTTTTTGAAAGGGCTTCTTTGATTCAGTTGAATAAGTTTAATCATAAGCTTTTGGGAAACCTCATTCTAGGAAACGCGATTGTATGAGACATGTTTTGAAATTTTTGTTGCTGAATCCAACGAATCTGTGTCTGTTGGTTTCATGGTTATGGGTAGCAAACACTACCCAAGAAACTATAAAACAATTTTAAAAAGTTTTTGAGAAAAAGGTTAAAAGGAGGGTGTAACGAGATGTACATTAAAGAACTTTTAACTACAGAACGATCCATTGGAACTGATCAGCAAAAACTAGTTTTTTTTTAATTTTCCGCTGAGCGAGATACCTCGAAATGGGCCTACTTGCGTTCTCTCATACAATTCAGATTTGATTTTTTTTGTATTTATATAATTAGCTCTATAACTAAAAATCGTTTGTAAATAATTGATTGGTTGTGTAAGTGCGGAATGCAGTTGTTTCAGGAATCACTGTGGTTTTTTCGACTGCAAAACGAACGCTGTAGAAGGTTCACTCTAATCTTTTCTATTTAAGACAGTTGTTACAGCGCCTTTAAACGAGTCGGACAGAATATATTCACAGTTGCTATTGATTATAGATAAATATCAGTTTATTCGAGAATTTTTTTAGCATAATTTCGGCTACAGGCAAACAACATGGTATGCCTTGCAGCTATTTCATAACAAACACAACCCATAGTCTGACAGTTTGAAGAGAGTAAATTAAAACATTCAATTATTTTCTCCCTTTTGCTGTTCTGACAAAATCATTATCCTTTTGTCAATTATTTCATTTTCGTCTGCCAGAACTTTTCTTCTCAAGCTGACACTATGATTAATTGTTACTACATCAAATTGTTTTCAGTGGGACTGAGTTTCATGTTTATTTTACTATTATTTCGGAAAAGTTTATTCGATTTCGACACAATCGATGTTATCGATTCTCATAAACTACCATTTTGCCAAAGAAGTGACCATTTCATCACATTCAAAGGTTTGTTTTTGACTTTCAGTTGAAACCTCAAAACGTATGCTTTTCTATAATAATATTTTAACCAGGTAATTGATTGCCTCTCAATTTTCTTCAAAATTTAATACGATAATGATGACGTTAAAAATCCAAAATCACGACAATTTTTTTGCGACAAGAGTAGCCAGAACTAGTGAAACATGTGCATTAAGAGTACAAAGGGGACAATTGTTGGTTTAACGTATTAGCTAACTTAACTTAAACCCCCTGTAATTTTAATTTTTTTTTTCATTTATACCCAGGAAGTTTTTCAGCTAATATGATCTCACAGCTTGATCCCCCACTGGAGTTTCCTGGCAAATAAGCAATTATAACTCATAGCTTCGAAAGTGGAAAGTAATTTTCAGACATACCATTGGAATAAAAAACTTGCCTTTTCATCTAGTGCTCTCAAATTGCATTAGTTTTATCAAAAAAGTGTCAATCTGACACCTATGTTTTCCTCGTAAACAACTTTTTTTGGCTGTCATCACTTGTTCAATTTTTTGCAACTATCAACTATTGTAAAGTTTTGGAGTTTTGGAAATGACAAGTTTGCAAAAATAATTAACGCACGACGTTTTAATTGAGTTTCAAAAAAACTATTGGTAAATCTTTTTGAAATATTTTTCGGATGTTTTAATCTGTTTTTTTTTCTTCCCTTTCTTACTTTACTTCTTGCATAACTTTGCAAAACATTATCACGTTTTGTTTTTCAAGTTTTAGAGAAGACTTAGAATTTCGACTGATTGTTTTTTTGATTATGTTTTCAATTGAAATTTTCAGTTGGGAAGATAGTGTCATATTTTTTTGAAAAAATAGTTTGGAGAAAAAAATGATGTTCTTTTTGAGACCCGCAATGATATAAAAGTTACATGAATTTATAAACGCTTCTTTGTAACTGAAAATTTTTCCCTAGCTTAATTTTTTTATATATACAATATATATGTAATGACAAAAGTAACGACGTGTTTTTCCATCTCCATGTAAAACTGCATAAAAAGGGGTTTTGTTCGAGGTTGGATGGGAATTATCCTTATTCGTTTATCGATCATCGTGAAAAGTCGATCATCGTAAGAAACTTTGAAAACAATCAGCCAATGGTACGTAAAACTTATTTTTTTCTCTTTCTTGGTCTGTGGAAATTGTGTTTTACAAACGACTCTGCTGTTCGGTCAAATATCCACCAGAGATTTTTACTACAATTTCAAAAAACGTCAATTTTTCAAAAACTAATATGAAACAAAACTGCTTGCTTCAAAGCAAGATCCCAGAATGTTCTGAAAGTTTTTTAACGTCCATGACGTAATGTTGGACTTAAGAACTTCATTAAGTTTTGAACGATTAAAAAAAATTCGAAGTTAATTTTCCCAGTTTTGAAAAGATTCTTCCGTTTTTGAGCCGGGTTGAAACGCCGCTATATAGCACGAAATTTATTGGACCATACTATTATTCCAAGTTGGCTTTTTTCAAATTCTCATAATTTTGCAAAACATTATCACGTAAATTTTCTTTCAATTTTGAGCTTGACAGAGTTATATTTTTCAGATGATATTTAAAAAAATTATCAAAATTGACTTGTTAAAAAATTGTCATTTGTCTGGGAAAAAAAACACCCAGGCTCATTTTTCTTTCCATGTTCTTTGAAAGTCAGCGCAATAAAAGCTAAAAGCAGAAGAGTCTCAAAAAGCTGACTTCAATACAGATGTTATACTCAAATTTGAAGCCGATGTGCTACTTTATTATTGCACGACGTCCATTTTTAGACCCTTATAATTCTCTAGTGGCGCCTCAAAAATTTGAGAGAAAATGGGATTAAAAACAGCGTGATGAAAAGTGTTTTAAAAATTATATTTTGAGGGAAAGTCCCCTAGTCGATCAAGGGAGGTTATCATACAAGATCTTGCAAGGTTCTCGCAAGATAACCTCTTTTAAAGATAACTTTTTTTGCAAGATCGTTAAAGATACGATTTTTTTGGACAAAAAGAGCCTTACATGCGAATAAAAACAAGTAGCGTTCGTGGAAGAAGGAAGCAATCTTAGCTACGTATACATAAACTAAGCCCGCTAGGCGTTTGCCCCCAGAAAGCTTCATTTTTTCGACCTTCATTTAGGCCACTGCAAAAAACCGCGATTTCATCTGGACAATATTTTCTAAAAAATGCGTAAAACGTCAATTTTGCCTAGTTTTCAAAAATTTGCCCAGGCGGTGTAATAACGTGACGTTTTTCTGACAATAATATCATTGCACTCTTTTGTGAGAGCTCGAAAAATTAGTTTGGAAAATTAGCTCGAAAAATTAGTTCTACAAAAACGTCCACAAAAACTTGGAAAGTTTTTGAAAATTTCTCTTGTTCCAGAAACTCCTAGATTTGCTACTGTGGTCAGGCAGAAGTATCAAAAATTGCACTTAATTTGCTAGCTCGAAAACTTCTGGTTTTTTTTTTTGAAAAGTTACTGAAACTAAGGCAAACAACGAAACAATGCAGTAAATTTGATTTCTTTCGAAATTTGATTTTTTTTGATGTTTTGACCCACTCAAAGGTTTCCAATTTGTTTAACATATGGCAAGAGGTTACTGGAATAATGAAATTTGCTCGGGGACGACGCGTGTTTTAAACTAAAATAGTCTGATTATTTCATAATTGACCTTCGTGGCACAAGTGTAGTTGCAGTTATTGCATACCTAAGGCGAGATCATTTTCTATAATTATTGATTTTCTAACCATTATTCAGTAACATTAGACCTTTTTCCGCTACCAGTTTTTACCGCTATCAGTTTTTACCAGTTTTTTCCACTATCAGTATTGGTGGACGAACATGCAGAATAGCATAACATGATCAGGTCAGGATCGGATAAAACCTTTGGATATACCGCCGTTTTGTCACCGACACTTCAAAGAACCACCAGTAGACCATTCAAAGCGGGTGTTGAGACTTAAAATGGCAATATTTACCAAAAAATATGTAGATATCCAAATACTACTTCCAGTTAGACCAGCGACGCCAATTAAGCCACTAACACAAAAACTCGAAAAAAGAAAAAAAAAGCGCGGAAGACAAACTTCCAACGGCGCGATAGATAATATTGCATTTAGGAAAACACACAAAAAGCCGATGCACAAAAAAGTCGAAAAAAGAAAAAAAAAGCGCGGAAGACAAACTTCCAACGGCGCGATAGATAATATTGCATTTAGGAAAACACACGTCGAAAAGCCGATGCGATATTAATTCTCTGCTAAACAGTCCCGTGGGATGATTCAGACACAGAAGCAAATAGCTTTACAAAGCAATGTGTGGGACAAGAGGCACAGAGACAGTTGAAAAAAATCTAACAGAATTTTGTAAATGCTGTCTACAAGAGACCTATGGAACGAGCCCGAGGACATCATTGTTTTAGAAAAAAAATCTTGTTCAAATGCTATAATTTTTTATGTCACAGAAAGAAAAATGACGAAACATTAGAGAAGTTTCATGCAAAGTTAGTAATCAAAAGCAGACTCTGGGTACAGAGAAGATGAATGGATGCAAATTATGTTCACGGCGCACGAAAAGATATCGGACGAGTTTCTAGCCAAAAAAGCGCATGACTATGCTAAAAGACGTAAACAAAATTGAACACAGAAAAGAAATAACAAAAACCACAGTCAAGGACACTCTAACACTTCAATAAATCAAGTTATCATAAAAAACCAATGGGGTTCATAAATTAACGGAGAAATCGACAAACTTACAGAGAGACAGGGAGAGGAAAAGTTCCAAATTTTCCAAATCGAATCAAAGTCAACAAGGAAAACGCGGCCACTGGGCAACTAAACACAACGACAAAATGAACAATTCTATAAGTATGCAAACACATTCTCTATAGCACACCCTCACTTTTATTCAGCAAAAGACAAATTCTGTTCAAAGTGTGGCAAAAAATTCACTTTCAGAAAATTTAATGTACAGCAAACAGTAATAACTTTGCTGATAGAGAAGAAACTCAGTTGAAACATCAACCAAAACAGCAAGAAAACTATGTCGACCAAGTTGCATTTGCGGAATTCACATCAGCGAACAGATGGAAATCACAACACCAGGATAGCTATAGTGTCCCAGCAATAAATGAAAAGTTTGAAATTAGAAATGTGGGCTCGTTCAAAAAAAGAGACTTAAACGGATATATAGTGAAACTTAAAACAACAGCAGTTACAATCGCACACCAGTGAACGGCAGCCATATGTTGGTTCTAAACGAATATGTTGCGGCACAACTGCAAAAAATTGTAAGAGGCGCCATTTGGAAGCAAAACCCCAAAGCGGATGCCGCATGTAACCTTGCTTGTTATGGCGCAATCTAAAATAGAACAATGGACAGAATTAACTTATACTTTAAATCTGGAGGGTGAACAGTAAGATTGGCACCATTCATTGTGGTGGAGGATACAGAGCGAGCATTGTTGGCAAAAACCTTCAGACACAGAGAAGCATAAAGCTACAACGAGAAAACTCAAAGCAACAGATATTGTTGAATATTGAAGCACAGAAACAAACAGATCCAGCAATGGCAAATTAAATTGTTGAAAATTAACGGGAATTATGCACACAATTCGGGAGATCAAAAACCCATGTGATGAGGACGTGGTTTTTGAAGATTTTAAGGCAATTCAACAAAAAGGTAGGAGAGTACCCATCCACCTATAGGAAAAAGTGAAACAGGAAATCAACAAGCTAATCGACAACAAGAACAAGTCAAAAAGCTAGAACATTTTAGTTATAAATCATTCATCAGTCTAATATAAATAACGTCTAGAATGATCAAACAATATATACACAAACACAATTATCAAATGCCAAACAAAGAGCTCCCATTGGATAAAATCGCCCAGGCGATAAAGTTATCAATTCAAGGCGATGTTTTTTCAATACTCGGTTTGAGATACGCATACGCACGATGACCTCTAGACCAAAAAAAAACAAAAGAGCAGTGCAACTTCCGCCTAGTGGAGGGGGTTAGGGAAGCCTTAAAAACATACCAAATGCAAACTAATTTTACGATCTGACGGTTATATATGCCAACTAATTTCAAGGAAGCGATTGACTCTAATTTAAAAAGTTGCAAAATCAGATTTGCATTCTTAGATGACAAGCTTATAACCAAGATGGGAAAGAAAACAGAGGATCAAGCGGAGCTAAAATTTCTAGTTAGGATGAACACTAAAAACTTAGCCATACTATAGCCAGTTTGCCAATTCGCCTGCAAACAGTTTGATTGGTTAGGGTTTACCATCACCGCGGTGGGAACCAGACTTTTATTGAAAAAACGGAGGCAATTGAAAATCTCATTGCACTTAAAACATACCATCAACTGAAGAGTTTTATGAAATCTATACATCATTTGACTAAATAGATAACAATCCTGGCAGAAAAAAACAGCTTCACTGAGGTAGGTCTCTACTAAAAAAGTGAAAAGTATAACTTTAAATGGCGTAAAGATCACAAAAAAAACTATTTCAAAAAATAATTGAACTGGTCGCTGAAACTACAGAAAGTTGACTTTTAACCAAAACCTAGAAACAAGGGTTGATTGCAATATGTCTACAGCAGGGCTAGTGTGGCCTTCAAACAATATTTTTTTTTAAAGGATGGATACCGATTTTGTACGCATCAAGGTTTTTAACACACGAGGAAAATATTCAAATAACGAGTTAGAATTATCAGGGGTAGTTTGGTCGGTAGAACACTTCAACTACTATCTCTATGGAAAAAATTATACAATTCTAACGGACCACCAAGCTCTTTTAAGTGCATGAAACGCATCGGAAAAATCAAAGACAGTATAATCCAAGCTAACCAGATGGATTGATAGGTTTTTACCTTTCAACTTCGATATCAAACATTGGGCTGGATCGAAAACGGGATTATTTGACTAATTGTCAAGAAACCCAGTCATTCCGGCGCTACATGTCAGGAAATGGTAGTTGCTAGAAGTATCACGTTTTTTTGAAAGCTAGAAAATCTGGACAACATAATTCTCAATGAATTTGCCACTAGGAACTAAGCAGCAAAGTATTCGATTGACCAGCAAAAAGAAAACCGTAAACGAATTGACTCCGTCCTAAACGCAAGTTCGATGCATTTGCTCAGAAATGTCACAAAAATGAGTTCAAAACGAGGGAAAAATCATTTGCTTGCCAATTATGCGGCACGATACAGAGCAAAACTCGCAGGAACAGATGGACACTAGCACCCCACTAGAAAAAAGGAAAACCGGTCCAATCGAAATTCCAACAAGCAGGACAACCAGAGACTACTGAGAATTAAGCAATAATAAGATTCCAATCAACGAATTTGCAAAATTTAGAGGGGGAGCTAGTATCAGAATGAAAGAAGTTGCCAAAAACACCGTGGCACGAACCGAACAACGAGAACAGGAACGCAAAGAGAGAGAGAGAGAGAGAGAGAGAGAGAGAGAGACCCAATGAACGAAAAAAAGAAGTTCAACGCACCCTATAAACTGAACAACAAATCACTCCATCAGAACAAAATAAATAACGCATTTGCAATCAAGAAATACGCGGGGGGAGCAGGAGACGACAATAACGAAAGCTGTCGGAACGGTTACGTGGAAAAAATGCTAGAAAGGGAGCCAAGAAGGGGGAAGCAATACACAAAGAGAGAAAGAGCAGCTATGAACCAAGCCAAAGAAAGCATAAAAAAGATAGTGTTTCGATCTAGGTGAGGAAGACCAACGCACGAAAAAAGAAAGAAAAAAAGAACAAACTATTGTTGTCACGCGAAAGGAAATACCAGAACAATAGCGCACAAACGAACACAGAAACACAGGAAATCGAAACACAAGCAGAAGACAAAGAACAAAATATTGACCTAACGCCCATGCTACATGAACCTAGTACAGCAACCAGCAGCGCTTGCGTCTTAAAAGCCATAAATCTTTTCAATGCTTCATTCTTTTTTGGAATCCACAAAATAGACGGCTTATTGAAGTTTTTTCCGGCATTTTTGAAAATATCTTTCACTCAATCAATTAGTTTGCCTACCTCTCCTAAGGTACTATTATGCTCTCTTATTAGCTCTCCTAACTTTGACCGCGAAAGTTTACTAAAAATTTTTTTATAGGAAAATGAGCCGATTGGTTCAGTTTTTTTTTGGGATTTTTTGAAAACGTTGGTCAAAGTATCGCGTTTTTATGGGGCGCACGTATCTCTCACAATCAAGGTTGTATGCGGTAAAATAGAGTGAATGTCGACTTTGTTTATTGCATAATAGTAACAATGAGGGTGTTAGTTAGGCAGTGGGCTGTCCAACCCCCTCCCTATATCAGCTTTCTTTGTTACTCATGTTTGTTTTTTACTACAAAGGCATTCAAAAAAGATTTTTCCCTTTTTATTTATCTTTTGGCAATAACCAGCTGAGCTTCCAGTGAAGATAATAGCTGATTTGTAAAGCTGCAGCTCAGGTGCGGATCTAGGATTTTCTCGAGGGGGGGGGCGGATTTTCAAAAATTTTCGAAAATTTTGTCGACTTTTTTTTTAGGTCGACCGAATTGATTTTCCGAGCTCTCCTAAAGCACTAAAAAGACTCTGTTTTCTGTTTTGGTAAAATTGTAGTTTTTAGGCAATTTTTAGAAAATTTTGGCCAAAAAAATTGCGTTTTTTGGCGCGCGCTCCCCCCTTAAAGTAAGTATATATTGGCGCCCGCGCTCCCCCTTTAAAGTAAGTATATATTGGCACCGAAGGCGCCTTTAGAAAAATTTTAGGGTCCGTCACCAAATATGGATATCTCAAAATAGTACAAAGGGGGACCCTTTGGGTCGGCAGGGGGTCGAATCCCTGAGGGGGTCGAATCCCTAAATCCGCCCTGCTGCAGCTACTACAACTTTGATCAGAGCTATTTGATTAGAGTTGAATGTCCTTTATCTTTTTTGAATCAGCGTTTCAATTTCATTTCAGACTTGAGTGGTGCTGGGCTACTGCATAAAGTAGATGATTTCTTGGACGCCGCCAGGATTGCAATTTTGACCAGTCGAACCCTCATTGACTATGTACCCGGATTAGCTAAAAAACACATGCGGGATAAATACAACCGACCGGTGGATCTCACCGGAAACGCCTTTGGTTTTAATTTCGTTCATGGATGGGGTTGGTCAAACATTGCCGACGTCAGTCGAATGGCTTACACGCTGAAGTTCAAAAATGTAAGTACTTTTTACAGAAAACGCGAATACTTAATGTCCTTGAAAATTCAATTCGAAATATTCAAAAAATCTAATATTTGTTGTAGCATTTTCAGATGAAAAGTTAATTACAGTTAAGCAGAATTGAAGAAGAAATCAGTAAAATAGCCAAAACAATTAGTCATTGTATATGCGTGCTATTCCACCGCCTTCAAACCACCAAAAAAGTTATAACTAAACGTGATAAATCTCAAAAACTCAAATTCTGACGAGCGAATTCAAAATGAAAATATTTATATATATAAATCAGAGCTGCTTTTCGTTCTGCTTCTTAATTTGAAAAAAAAGCAAAAACAAAGTTAGTTTTAAAAAACTGCTCGGGAATTTTTTTTTTGAGAAAGAACTTCATCATTTTCTGCTTTTTTTCTTATTCGTTTTTCCGCGCAACCTTCATTAGTTTCTAATTTCTGTGCAAAAAAAAACACTACAAGGCCAAACTGTAATTTTATAAAACGCATTGTTGAGTGCGTATGAGATCAATGTCGGCAGATAATATGTGTTGCGAAACCCGCACCGATTAAAATGATCGCACAACAAAAATATCAAAAAATTTTAAATAATTTTTCTCTTGATTCCACAACACAAAAACAGGACAGAAAAACTGCCTTGCTGCGGTATCTGCAAAAGAAACAAGACAGTTGTATCGGAGCAAAGCTTTGATTGGCCCGACTGCCGAAGTCGAAAAAAGATTTTTTCTAAATTAGTTGAAAAATAAACGAAACATTACCCAGACATTCTAAAGTTGAAAGCAATTACTTGCGTTGCTTCTCTAGGTTAAAAAAATCTTTTTCATACTGAAATAAAAATAAGCGTTTAAATTTTATTGCGTATTTTGATTATATTTGACAATGTATTTTAATGTGGATAATCTGTAAGCCCGGGTTGACCAAAACTTCTTATCAAACAACTTCCATTTATGAAAAACTTCTTGCCATTCAATTCCATGAATACAAAAAATTGTATGAAATCTCTATGATACGCTTTTTTCCAGATATGAAAACTGTATGATAAGTATGTTTCCATAAACCAAAAAGTAGGAAAAATTCTGGGTTGCTTTCGTAACTGAACGCAAGTGGCAAAAACGTTGTTTTACTCAAAACACCACAGGTTGGACCGTCTTACATGAACAATGCATAGAAAACGACTTGAGTTGTTTTAGAGCTGTCTTTCACAAATGACATAACGAAAGTAACAAACATTTAAATTTTGGCGAAATTTTATAACGATGATTTTTTTAAAGTTTATAATTTTAACTTATCAGGCATTGATTACGGCATTCATAAACATGCCAAGCAAAAGAAATAGAAGTTTTCAGCGTTTTTGAAAAAAAATTAGTGAAAGAATTGGAAAAAATCTATTATTAGTGTATCCAAGACTACGTTATGCCCACAAAAAATTCAATTTGCGGTTGAAAAAAATCAAAAAAATATTTTTGGGTCGCCATAAAAAAATGCTAGTTATACAAGTTTCATTTAAAGAAATTTTATGAAAAGCATTTTTTTCAAAAAACAAAAACCTCGGTTTTTTTTCATCACCAGACTGTTTGATTAGAATCAAAGAGTCACAGAAATCACTTTATACCTTTTTTCAACCAATTTTTTAAATTGAACAAAAATTGTATGACAAGAATTTTTTTCTATACACTTGATGTATGGATTTTTATGATAGGCCATTTCGGTGTTTGGAGGTCAACCTGGGAGGTTATGTCTTTCTTTCCAAAATTCTTTTAAGTAATTGAGTTTTTCAACGAAGCTCAAAAGGTTGACTCAACTCTGCTCCCTAATGCTTGTAATACATTTCCACTCAAATTATTATTTTTTTAAATACTCAATTGATATAATTTTTTATAAGCTAATGTTTTAATAAGGGCAAATTGCTTGCCTCATTCAATTTAAAAAGACATAATTTACTGCTTGAGTTTCTTAAGACAAAATATAGCGCGCGCTAATTATCTCAGTTTGAATCATACCGGGTTGACCTTTATTGCCAATTAACCAGAGAGTTTTCTTCGTTATTCATTATCTTTTTGATAAAACTCAAAATTGAAAATCGAAATGCATGAGTTGGAAAAGCTTGGAAAATCTATATAGTTTTCGTTATATGTTTGGAATTGTATAACGTTATGAAAATTTTTGGTCACTTCAGGGTATTTGCCAATTTAGTCCCAAATTTAAATGATTTCAAATGTGCAAATTTTGATTGCAAAGAAATAAATTTTTTAAGTTTTTATAGTTTTTTTTTCATTTTTCCATAACCGAAATAGTTTTGATGAGTTTTCTTTCTAGAGCAATCAAAACAACGATCTACGTTGCAGTTGGTTAGACAAAAAAAGTTAAAAATTGCAACTATTTTTGAATCATTCTTAGTTTTTTTCTCTCCCTTTTGCAACTTGGGGAGATTCATTACTAATAGGATACAAAATTCAGATATGCTTAACCGTTGAATTAGTTTTTCTATAGCAACTTGTTACTAGGCACCATGGAGGGATTCGTGGAAGGGAATAGATTGAAGAGATAGTTGAAGATACTTGTGATGTCAGTACTTTATTTTTTATTCCACCCTTCCCAGCGTTCCCAAAACCTTCCCAAACAGTCCCTAAAAACTTCATAAAAATGTTTTAAAGTGTCTAAAAACGGTTTTTTTTTTCATAAATTTGCCAACGGCTCATAAAAGTTGTTCAAAATAGGGAATTTTTTGTGATTTGCAAGAGCTAGGAAAATCAATTTGGTCAACCTAAAAAATATAGGTCGACCAAATTTTCATTTTTTGAAAGTCCGCCCCTCCCCCCTAGAGAAAGACCTAGATGCGCCCCTGATTCTACCGGTTTTTCTCAAAATTAGGTTAATTGTAGCAGCCTTAATGTCTGATTTTAGGGTAGTACGCTGAAATGTAGACTGCGAATAATTGGTGGAAACTCAGTGGACGAACTCAAAGGAAATATTCTTTCTATCGATTACGGTACACCAGATATGACATTCTTCCGAATAGAAAATATCCAAAGTCACAAAAAAATAACTAAAGTGTTCAATTTAAAAGGCGTTAAAGCTCAGTTTTCAGGGAAACCTTTTTCTAATTTTATTCAATTAACTGGAAATCGGATCAAGAAGAAATGTTTTGAGCGCGCTAAAATCATCGCCAGATATCATAACAGAAGTTCCAGCTTAATTCGTCGTTTTCTAACTATTCATTTGAGAGGCACTGACAGACCTTGTGCGCTGAAAAAATTATCGGTACTCATTTATTCATAAAAATTACAAAAATTATCAGGTTCTAATTTTTTTCAATGTATTTTTTGTACCGACCCCTCTTTTAACAAGTCGACATAATCAGTGGTGGATTTAGGGGGTGTGAGTATAGAGTGGACCCCCCAAAGCAATCGACCCACTCACCTATCAAAGGGATCCCGTTTGTTATTATTTTATGACATCCATTTTCGGCAACCAGCCCTAAAATAATTCGTTGGCGCCAATGTATACTAATTATTGAAGGGAGAGCGCGCCGGAAAAACACATTTTTTTTCAAAAAACTCCAAAATAGAGCCAAGAGCCAAAACAGCATTTTGACCTGTTTTTTTAAAACAATTTGTCGTCTTTACAGTGTTTGAGAGCGCTCGGAAAATCAATTTGGTTAATTTAAAAAAGTTTTTTGAAAATGCGAATTTTTTTTTGAAAATGCGTCCCCTCGAGAAAATCCTAGATCCGCCCATGAAAGCTATCAATGCGTAAAAGTTTGCCCTTGAGCAGTTTTGAGGTTAAATTCTTGAAATAAACCAGGGAAATCATTTGATATTTCCACAAGAAATTTGAAATAAATTTTGATTGACCTTGAAAATATTCAAGAAATTTTTGAACATCGACCGATCAAAAAAATACTTAGATTAGCCTGGTCAGCATTTTATTCGATTGTTACGTTAAAAATTTCTTGCTTAGATCTTGAATCAGTATATCAGGGCACAGCACTGAAAGCGCTGACTGCCCTCTATTGTCGATTCGAAATGTTTTGCTTGAAAAAAAGCAAAAAAAAACAATTTCAATCCCCCATAAGCTATGTAAAGTACTAAGTGATACATACCAAGTGAACTCCAAAAAACAAAATCTTTCAAATGGATTAGAAAAATTTTGTCAAAAACTCTTAGTCAAATAACGACTAAATAAACAAATCACCCCGCGCATAAATAACCTGCAATAACTCGAAAATTGGAATAATAAGACTGCTGAAATCAGATTTCTCGTTAAAAAAAGCTCTTAAAATTGATCAAATAAGTTTTTTTCCTAAATTTTTTCCCTCCACGAGCATTGTTAAGTTGGTGTTTGATGACGTATCAAATAGAGCAAATTCTTTGCCTCAGTTCAGTATTGAACAAGTTTAAATGCCGCTTATGCTTCAGCAGGACAAAAAAATGCATGCCATAAAAGTGCAGACAAAAAATTTTGGCAGACAGCTGTAGATGTGAAGTTATATGAAAAATACTTGTAGTTCAATTAGAATATATAAATAGCCATTTTTAACACTGACTCGAAAATGAATTTCCATACATGAAAACATTTTCCGGACAAATGCATGTAAGATTTTATCGTTTTATCTATAAAGTAAACAAGAATAAATTATACACAAAAAATTAAAATTGTCTGTGGTATTTTGTGTGCAACCACATCAAAATGTGTTTGTTTTTATTTGGAACGTTTTACTCTAACAAAAACAGTTACAATTTTTCCCCAACTGGATTTTGTTATTTAAAACTTTTTCATCCATTGTTACAAAACAAAATTTTTATAAAGTTTTGTCGCCTTTTTTATCGAACATTTATGTCGACCTTTTTAATTTTGCGAATTTTGTTTTTAACTTCACCTAATTGATTTTCCAAGAAACCCCAGATTACTTAAGGACCCTTTTTTGACCAAAAAAATTGGTCAAAAAAGACGTTTTTGAGCATTTTTTGGAAAATTTGGACAAAAAAAATGCGTTTTTGGAGCGCGCTCCCCTTCAAAGTGATTGTATATGGGTGCCAAAGGCACCTACATTACGAGTCCAAACTGTGCATTTTGTGCATTGTAAGCGGATTCCGCAATAAGGACACTCCCTTTGATCTTCTTTTGTTCTTTCATTTTCTTTGATCGTTCCGACAAAATTTTAACATGTTTAAAGACTTATCTATGGAATCCAGGAACATACAGACACAAAATTGTGCGCCTATCCAGTGCACAGTTTGGCCTCGTAATGTACAGAAAATTTTTAGGGTTAGTCGGCCCAAAGTAGATGTCGTAAAATAATACCAAAGGGGGATCTTTTGGTTAGTGAGGGGGCCCGGACCCCTAAATTCGCACCTGCTTTTGTAAAATACTTCGTGAAATCGAATAGTTCGGTTTTGATGGCCAATCACTAAATGCTGTTTTTTGTTGAGGTAATTGCCACCTAAACAGAGTATTTGTTACCCTAGTTCATTGGCTTTTTGAGCAAACTCAAAATATAAAGCAAAACTTATAGAAAACCTATTTTATGATCTATGGAAAAAGAGCTAATGATACACTATGAATGTGTGACTAATATGTTTTTAACGAGACTTGTTATGCTTTTCTGTAATTATAGAGTTATTTGTAATTTTAAGACAAAAGAGTTTCGTTCCGGCCATTGTAATTGGGTAGAAACTTTGTATTCGGGTGTAATTTAGTTTTTTTTTTGCTGTATTCAACTTTTTTGTTTTCATTGCAAAATCAGGTATCACAAATAATCATCGAACAATTTCTAACAAACCCTTCTAATCTTGATTCGAATGAGATTTAAAAAAATTTCTAAAAGTTTTTCCTCGTATCGTTATACGTTTGTTATACATGAAAATTAGAAATTTAGGCTAAGAAATTTTAGTTAAGAAAAACAAATTTTGGAAGCTTCAGTTAGCTCTTTTTTGGCAAATTCTTTTTAAAAATTATTTTAAAACTTTAGTGCAAAAAATTGAGCAAAATTTAAAAAAGTTTTTCGAAATTTTTTTGAAATATTTTAAATCATTTATTTTTTGAAGAACATTGGACTCGTTTATGACAAATTTACTAAATTTCTACGCGTTCGTATCGTTTTGTTATCACGCGGCGTACAAAAAAGACACTAATTTTTTTTCTTCGGAAAATATGGTCGGAACATTTTGTGCTATTTGCACAGCACCCGGCTATCCTTGTTCACTTATGGAAATTGCACGATCAGAATTTTTGGGTAATCGTAAAAATAATTCCAAATTAAAACTACTTTAACTGCGCAAAAAATTATCTCAGGTGAAATATCATAACTTCTCAATTTTGAGCCTTGGGCTTCAGTATCTTTCCGAATGTAGTTAATAAAAATTCGAAAATTGCTGTTTTAATAATACAAATTTGTCTGACAAAAAAAACTAATAACCCAAGAACAAATATTCCAATATTTTCTTCGAAAGTCTGAAAAAGTATCTATTTCAAAAAACTACAGAAGTTTGACCTCAAAAATCTGTGTATGTTATCAGAATTCCCATCTAATTAGAACAGCACGTCTAAATGAGTACCAAACTACAGCCGCAAGATTTGATATCCCGGTTAATTAATTTGGGAGTTAATCGTCTACATGATGTGGTTTATCTAATGAGTGACCTTGATCACAACAACATCCATCTCAAGTCAATTAAGAACTTCTTCCGTGATTTTTATTTATTCGAAGCGAAAGATATGGACGTTTACGATCGCGAAGTATTTGCCCGACATGCTCCGTTTCTGATATATGCGACTGAAATTCATCTACAACAAGTTGCAGATGGAGTGATTGAAAGCTACAGAGGACATAGCATGGCGAAAAATGCTCACATTTTGGGATATTTAGAGCCTTGGAGATGCTTATCGAGAAAAATTTACGACAAAGCGTATAAGAAAATTAAAACCTACTCTAGACTTTGGCTCAGGAAAGTGAAATAAAATAAATATGTAAAATTAATAACTCTTGCGATAAGCAAGGGTATTGCAATCGGGTACAAAAATTTTCCCCGTAAATAACTTTGTTCACAGGGTTAATCTGCACTCCTGGTGGTGCCTTGCTTCATAATGAACTCAAACTTATTAGTGTTTCCTGCAAACTTAGCCCCGAGGTAACGAATGCGCATGAGACGGCAAAGATCCTGGGTTCGAATACGATCACAACCTGTTTTTTCAAACGCGAAATATTCTGTTTCAATTTTATTGTCGGCCTAATTTTTGTTTGCTTACGTTTTGTCGGCTTAGTTGCCACATCTAAGAATCGATTTTTTTGCTGCAAACAATTTTTTAAGTGTTTTAGCATTTTAAAATCCGGCCGAATCGAAATTTGAATTTTACATTGCTTGTGATTTTACATTGCTTGTGAACTCGGTTTGTTAAAACTTCGTTTTTTCCCGCTTTTTGTCTTTTTTCGGCTCAATCGGTTTCGGCTTATTTTTCATTAACTTAGTGGCCACTTACCGCGTCGTTTGATGGATCGAAACAATTTTGTGCGCGTGTGTGTGTTCTGAGGAAACTTTTTTCAAATTTGTCAGGAATTTTTGTGAATTTTGTTCGGTATGAAAGGTTTCGGCTCAGGCAATTAGTTTTTGTTACCGCTTGATAATTTTAGTTCCGATGCTAATTTTGCATTCTATTGTCTGGGAATGTTTTTTTTGAAAACAACATCTTGATTTGTTTTGATAGATCTTATTGTATGTAGAGTTAATAAATATCGGTATTAATTTTTTTGCTGATGGTGTTTCGGCTTTAATTTTGTTGATTAAGCTCTCGATTTAGTTTCAGAAATGTGTATACCACGTTGCGTTTGGTACATATATGGCTTTCCTAGTAAGGCACTGTTATATGTGTTCTTCCAATGAGAGTTTTGCATAACAAATTTAGTTGATTTTCAGCTGATTAGCTGTCAGCTTTAATTATTCATTTTTACTTAAATTTTTCTTATAAGATTCCGATTTAATTGATGAATGATTTGTTTAATTAAATTATGAATTTTACTTGGAAATAATACTGATTTAGAGTTTTTTGTTCTAGTTCATTCTTCAACGATAACAACATTCTCATTGATAGTTTTTGAGTCTCTACTTTTTGTATCGCAAATGGTGCGAAGCTCAGCTTCGCCTCTGTGTGTAAATATGTAGTAATAAATTCCTTTATTTAATTTAAATTGTAAAATGTTTTTTTTTAATTCAAAACAATCGCCAAAGGATAAGGTACGAAACAAGCTCCAAAGGGCAAATTACAGGAAAAAGTCTTGCCAAACAAATTCCATGCATTTTTTCAATCGCGCAATGGATTGTTTTAAAATTGGCGCTCGAATTATGGAACAGATTAGGTAAATTCATTTCGTGACCTAATTTTGTTTCTTGGAAAAATTTCGAACAAGATTGCTGTCCAGTGGAATTGCTTTTTCAAACTTCGAATAGGTTTGCTGTCCTGCCTGGTTGAAGTGTTCGACCCAAACTCCGCTGGTGGAAAACAGCCCTTTCGGTCGGACACAATATCGAAGCATAGTCAAAAACATGGTCGAAATATAGTCTAACACTATTTCGATTCATGTCTGAACACAAAATTTAAATTAAACTACGGTCAAAACACAAATTCTTGTCAAAACATAGTGGAGCACAAAGTCGAATACAACGAGTGGTCAAACGAAACATAGTCGAACAAAAAGTCACATTCAATGTGTAGTCGAAACATGGTCGAACACAGTTCCAAAACACAGATGAACTCAAGAAATGGGCTACTCATGATCTTAGAAAAAAATCCGAGAAGCAATGTTTTGCCAGAAATAAAAAACTAATAAATGAAGTTTTGATTTAATAAAAACAGATTTAACAGATTTCTGTCACATCCAATTTGAAAAACCAGATTATTCAAAAAAATACGTTGAAACAAGAAATCAAGGTGGTGAAAAACATAAAAATTGATCAACTTTTGAGTTGCATTAATTATACAGACTCTGAAAAACATTTGGTCGAAACATAACTAGATTGAGTAGAGTCAATCAAAATATAGCTCAGTTGAATCAAGTCGGTCAAAACATAGCCAGCTTGGTTGGATTATTTTGAAACACAGCCATTTTTGGCCGAGTTGGTAGAAAAATACCTCTTTTAGGTCGAGTCGCTCAAAACATAATTCGAATATTCTGTAGAATAAGCGTATAACTATTCGAATATTTCGAAACTCTTTTTTCATCTCCAAAAATTTAAAAAAAAAATAATGATATAACCAAACTTCTCGATAATCACGCGGATCCATATCATAGTCGTACATATTGAGGCAGCAGATTTTTAACTCAATGATCCTTTGGATTACTACAGCAAAGTTAGTTAGAATAGTTTTCCGCGGAGTTAATAAGTAGAGTTCCCAATTGAGTTCCCAGCGGAATACCAATAACAATTATTGATCCAGTTTTTCTATTTATCCGATTGCATCTCCCAATTTTTTCGACTTGATTATTGCTTCTTAGTGTTTAGAGCACTAATTTAAGAAGTCAGTTGATTTTCTCGGTGTTTGTTTTTCATTGCTATTTTTCTTTGATCTTCTTTGCTGTTTTGGATTTCTTAAACAAATACCTTAAACACTGTACTGCTCAGAATTGCTCCAAAAATAGCCGAATTTGTGGAATCCGCAACCGTGTTTGCGGAATTAAAAACTGTTTGAGGAATCCACAAACAAATAATGAGACCTGTGTATAGTTAAATTGAGCTGTAAGTCGAATCCGCAAACTGTAAGTGGAATCCGCATTTTGTTTGCGGATTTCATTTACACATATGTATATATGTAGTGTAGCTTTTAATATTATATCTTTTATTTACTATTTTTGTCAGCAAAAATTTCAATCTCAATTACTACATTGATTAACTACCAGTTGAAATACCAAATGTGTGATCTCAATTCCTGTCAACACAACTTCGATCTCAAATCCTGTCAACTTTGATCTCAACTTCGATCTCAATTCACTAGAGTCGGAACCTACTAGATCAGTATTTGGAACTGATGGAATCCCAAATACTGACCAGTATTTGGGACTGATGCAATCGCAAATACTGAACTAATTCGGCGATATGCTGTGCGCTGTGTTTCTCAACGCAATGACTCCAGATATATTCGGTGTTGTGTTTCCAAAATAGTAAATGGTGACACCGATTTAGTTAACAAATGTTTTGAGATTTATTCGTGGGTTCCGCCGACAATGGTTAAGTTCGTGCTTTTAAATTCCGCATTGTTATAGGTAAGACTTCTAACTCTAGCTTTTAATTGTTCATATGCAAGTTCAGTAATAAACAAAGTTCGGAGTCCTCTTACAATTTGCGGAATGCGCTTACAATTGCGGATTACGCTCATAAATTTTGGGGATGCCTCTTACATTTGCGGATTCCACTTACCTTTTGTGGAATCCATTTACAGTTGCGGAATCCAGAACAACTAGATATTTTCGCTTATTGCGGAATCCGCGACACAACAAATGTGCCGACAAAGTTTAGGCTACAGGTATTTGTACGCGGATTCCTTGGCACTTTTCTAAGTGGAATCCACTTACATTTTGGAACATGTTTAAAGATTTGTCTATGGAAACCAGGAACATGCAGCCACAAAAATGTGCGCCTATCCAGTGCACAGTTTGGCCTCGTAATGAAAAAAAAAATTATGAAATCTGATCAATTTGATTTCTGTTTTGAGAACTTTTTCAATTTCATAATCTTTGCGTAAGTTGTTGGCTTTTTCATAACTTTTGGGCCTTTAGTTTGATTTTTAGAAATGTTCAAAACAACACATTGTTGAAACACATCTCTGGCTAATGTAACCAACGGTGCCATTCTTAAATCGTGCTATTTTTCATTCCTAAATTGTGCAACTTGCCTCAATTTTCAAAAACTCACGTTTTGCAGTTAGAACTCGAGGTGCTTTTAAAGTTTAATTTACGACTTGAAGTCTCGTCATTGTGAAACCCCAATGGCCTGTTGTTTTAATTATTTTTCAATTCTTTAATCAATTTTATCTTACCTGATCTTTTTCCCTAATTTTTTTGACTAGCTTGCTTAGCTATGTTTGTAATGCGCAAGGAAATTGTGCAAAAATCCTCTTCGCCTTTGTGTAATTATTATGATCTTATCTATACTAACTCGGTCTGGAATAAAGGGAAATAATACAAATTTGACAATCTGTAGCCAGGCCTGACAACCTTTCATGGATGCTCTGCGAATCGCAGAAAACTCAATGATTACCCTACAGTTCTGTTAAAACGTCTGTTCAATTCATCT